AGCTTCTTTCGTGTCTCCGGAACCGGCCATTCCAATATTGCTTTGATCTTCACCGGGTCGGTCTTCACCTGCCCACCAGCGAGGATGTAGCCCAAGAAGGAAATGGATGAGGCGTGGAACTCACACTTTTCCGCTTTTACGTACAGTCTATTTTCGAGCAGCCGTTGTAGCACGCTCCTCACATGGATGCGATGGTCCTCGAGTGTCTTGGAGAAAATCAAAATATCATCCAGGTAAACAAAAACAAACACGTTCATGAAATCCCGTAACACGTCGTTGACTAGGGCTTGAAAAACCGCCGGGGCGTTCGTTAACCCGAACGGCATCACCAGATATTCAAAATGCCCTAGTGGGGTATTGAAGGCGGTCTTCCACTCGTCGCCTTCACGTATCCGTACCAGGTGGTAGGCGTTCCGCAGATCTAGTTTGGTGAAGACCGTAGCTCCCTGGAGTGAGTTAAAAATAGAACTAATGAGTGGGAGGGGATATTTGTTTTTGACGGTGACGTCATTCAGCCCCCTGTAATCGATGCACGGGCGGAGCGTCCCGTCTTTCTTTCCCACGAAGAAAAAACCCGCAGCCACGGGAGAGGATGACGGCCTAATACGTCCTGCAGTTAGCGACTCCTGGATGTAATTCTCCATGGTTTCTCTTTCGGGGCGAGACAGGTTGTATAATCTGCTAGAGGGCAGCGATGCACCCGGGAGCAGATCGATAGCACAGTCATATGGACGGTGAGGCGGGAGTGAGAGCGCCTCATCTTTACTGAACACCTGCTGGAGATCGTGATAGTCGGGGGGCACGGAAGAGAGGTCCGGCGCGGGTGGCGGGGCGGGCCTCCGTTCCGTTGAGGCGGAGGGAACGGCTGACCTCAGGCAGTTCGCCAGACAAAACACACTCCAGCTCGCGATACTTTTTCCGGCCCAATCTATGTGTGGGTTATGTCTCTGTAACCAGGGGTAGCCTAGGATAAGCGGGGTGTCAGGAGCAGGAAAAGTGAAAAAGGACAGCTGCTCTTGGTGGTTACCTGATGTGATTAACCGTACAGGCGCGGTTTGGTGAGTTATGTATGCAAACACTTGGTTGTTTAATGTAGACGCAGGGATGGGCGGTTCGAGTGGAGTAAGAGACACAGCTAGCCTCTTAGCCAGCTTCTCATCCATAAGGTTCTGTTCTGCCCCGGAGTCCACTAACGCGGGGCATGTAAAAGTCTGATTAGAAGTCACGATAGTAACGGACAGTAACAATCGGGGTCTAGTAGTGCTTAGAGTGCTGCCCACCCGTATCCCCGGACTCACCGGTGGGCCGGGTCGTTTGGGCGGACCGGGCAAACAGCGATGCGGTGACCGGGCCTCCCACAGTACAGACATTCTCCAGCCCGAAATCGGCGTTCCCTCTCCTCCGGAGAAAGCCGAGAGCGTCCGATCTGCATGGGTTCGAGCGGGGGCGGCGACGGAGAGCGCGCACACGCAGCTGGGGGCGGGGGCGGAGAAACGCGAAACCCGGGGCGCAATACGGAGCCCATAGGCTTAGACCGCCGCTCGGCATCCCTCTCCCGCAAGCGTCTGTCAATCCTACGGGAGAGGGAGGCCAATTCATCAAAGGATCTGGTCTCCTCGTGAAAAGCTAGTTGGTCCTTCATCTGGTCATTTAACGACCGTAAAAAAAACCCACGAAGAGCCGAATCGGGCCAACCCACGGCGACCGCTCGAGTACGGAATTCAACTAGGTACTCCGCAATACTGCGCCGCCCCTGACGGAGCCCCAGCAACTTCTGCGCGGCATCGTCCTCCGATACCGGAGGGGAAAACGTAGCCTGGAACTCCTCCAGGAATTCATCGTAATCGCAATCACGAATGGGGTGAGAATTTAAGTAGGCTTCAGCCCATGCTAGAGCACGCCCCCGTAACAATCCCACGAAGTGGGAGATCTTAGCAGCATCCGTGGGGAACGCGTGAGGCGTGCGACTGAAAAACAAGGAGCACTGGAAAAGGTCCAGCTCCCCGTGGAAGGGTTCCAGCGGCGGAGGCGACACGCCGCGGTGCATGGGGTCGGACGGCCTAGTTTGTAATTTATTCTGAGTGTCACTGAGCTCTTGACAACGGTCTTGGAGAGACTGGAGCTGCTGATCGTGGCGACCGAGGATAGCGCCCTGTTTATTAATAGCGGAGCGGAGTGGATCTGCTGGGTCCATACTGGCCAGTCCGTACTGTCATGAACCGAAGTTCCGAGCGCAGGCAGGACCCAGTAGCAGAACACACACACTAGGGTAGGAGCGAATAAAGAAAGTAATTTTTATTGCAACTAAAGGTGTCCCGTGAGGGTAGCCTGAAAAACAACGTATGAAACCAGAAGAAACCGAGGGACCGCACAGGGAACGCCGAGAGCGGGGCTGTGAGAGGCTGTAAAACAAAAAGAGAGACAGATTACTGGGGTGCGGAAAAAAGGCAGCATACGAGGGAAGGTGGAGTGTGCGTCTCACGGTGATAGCCGGGCCGAGTGAACCAGAGGGGGGTGGAGCTCCAAAAGGGGTCGAGACGGCGAAGCTGATGGTGAACCAAATCTCAGGCGGACAGGTGGACAGGCAGGTGGCTCGAAAACAAAAACACGCCGAGTTGTGATCTGGGTACACAGGGAAAAAACAGTGTTAGGTCCGATGGAGAGTTTGTCATAAGAGTTCTTTTCCCGCAGGCGTACGTTACCGCTGAGAGGCGACTACGGACTGGCGTGGAGCAGCAGGTAGGGAAGGATTAAATAGTCCACCTGATGATCGCCTGGGATGGGATGCAGGTGTGGGGTTAGCAGCCACGCTCGTGGGCGTGGACATCCCAGCAGCACCCCGGACGCCGGGCCGCGGACCATGACAGTTATAACTTCAGTAATGATGTAACAATAAAGAATATCTATTTAAACCCCAGGATGACACCAACTGGCCCAACCAACACCTCCAGCTACATTATCCTTATTTATTCCCAGTTATCAGAGCTCAACATGGGCTTGATGAAGTTTCATTATGTTGCTCCACATTCTGGATTTATTGTGTTGCTACATCATATAATGCTGCAATTTCCCTTCATTTACACATAATGTGGCGCACAGCAAATCAGCCTGGTAATTATCTGTGCCAACTGCATGTGTTAGTGCCAAGCATCATACGTTAAACAGGCTTTTGTGAAACGATGCAGTGCTTATATTTATATTTCTTTTTCTTCCAGCCATTTGTGTTTGTAGTAATGTCAATAGCCTCCCATTATCCAAAGGCAATTTCCTCAAACAAAAAAAAGAAAAGAAAAAAGAAAAAACAAAGTTTCACCAATTTCCTTTAGCGGCCTTCCTTTTTGAGGAAAACATTGGAAACTTATTTAGCCCCTCTGGAATGCCTCAGCATCATTATAAATGTAAAAGTCACATTTGATTCCAATATTCTGCCTCTTTATTCCTCCCCAGGGAACTGCAGTCGGAAACATTGTTTTCCTAATATTCCCATTTTGTATTTACAAGTGTGTTGTGCCTCTTTGCACGGCTGGTCAAGGAACAGCAGGAGCACGTCCTCAGATGTTTGTGTCTGGATTACGGCCTGCGCTGAGGCTTGAGGAAGCCTCGTATTTAAATAAATGGGATGATGCACCGCACAAGCTTGATGTGCAGGTTCACAACCCCCAAAACCAAGGCAAATTAGCCCCTGTGCAGATCCAGTTGGGACTGCACGAACTACTATACATAACTAAAAAGTTACAGACAGTTAAATAAGCATCAAAAATAATATCCAAAGGCAGCGAGCAGGGAGAAACCTGGCTATGGCTCTCTTACCTCTCAGCAGTGTGGCAGAAATTGGCTGAGGAAAACTGCTGAATTACCTCTGGAGCATTTCAGTTTTAGACTCTGCTAATGTGTGCCAGCGCAGTGGAAGCCCAAGCCTGCTATTCTGGGTCACTGGTCCATAGACTGAAAGGAACAGCATCCAAACACAGGTTTTATACTAATATCATCAATCTATGGATTAGTGTCAGCATATTTTTGTATTTGGAAACAAACAGCGTTAGAGCAGGATTAGCCTGGAATGCTAACCACTACAGATTTTTGTGCTTAATGCTAAAACTACTCGTGAACAAGTTGTTCCTTTTACCTGCATATCATTTTGTGGTTTTTAAAGATTCTGATCTGTTCTCATATTCACATTTTATTTATGGCCAGTGAAAGCAAATAGGATTTCTTTTGTAAGTGAAATGCAGATTAATACTGGCACAGCAGTTTCTCCAGGAGCTCAGGAACATTGTTGCTAAGCGGGTGGTCAGTTAGTTGATGATCTAATACTTGATGATCAAATGCCTGACCTCCCAAGAAAAAACCCAACATACTTCAGCATTCAACTTGAATTTAAAAAGAAGAAGCAGTTTTTAACACGTACTCGTTAAGCTCAGCATGTGGATGCACACCTCATTGTCAGATCCTCTCCTTAACTCCACGATCTTTTACAGAGCCCACCCAGGAGGTGCTGCCTGCCGACTGACGGATGCTGGAAGCTACCTCACCAAAAAAAAAGACGTAGTCCTCTTTTTCAGGGCACATTTTTTTACAACGTGCCTGCCAATACTTGGTTGGAGATTGCTGGATTTGATCCTCTAAGTAAACATGGACTTGATTTGGGCCTGTTTTAGGTTTTAATTGTATGTTTGCATAAGCCCTGCTGCCTACAGTGCACTGTTTCCCAGTTTGTGACAGCGGATTTTAATCAAATCGTGAAAGATGTCAGAAAGTACACAAAGTCAGTTTATTAATCTTTCAGTTGTGTCTCACTTCTTGACGTTCGAGCCTCGCTTAGCGGCTCTGTTTGTTTTTTAACGTGATTGGTCACCCCGGTTTTAAATAGTTTTGTTATATTTCCAGACAACATCATGATTGTCTTCACAATTACAAGTGACTTGGAACATAGTTTCTTCGTTTTTTTTATGCTGTAATAGTTTGAACAATCTGTTTTTTCTCTCTCTGTCTCTTCATAGGGCCCTCCTGGTCCAAAGGGTGAAAAGGTGGGTAACTGTATACTTTGGTGTTTTTGTTGCACAGTTAATATGAAGAAATACTGACATCCCACAGCTTTTTTCTTAAGAGTCTAAAGGCAATGAAATTCACCTAGTTAGCTATGCAAGATGCTCCCCTTGTGTGCAGCATGAAAGCCTACATATACTGCACTGGTTGGTGCTGTTCATTGGAAAAATGCATCAATGCAGCAGCCATACTGTGCAGTTGGAGAACAACTCCCAATGCATGTATGGCGACTGAGGCAAAAGATCTATACACAATAAATAATTAAAGCAATCAAGAATAGCTTCATCTTCAGTGGTTTGGTTCATATTTATTATTGGAGGTTAAAGAAATGCAAACTTTCATATCAAATTGCTTCATCTTATGTTGGAAGTAGCAGCAGGATTTCTTTCTAAATACAGTTCTGCAGTTTCTTTATGTGAATTGATAAGATATCTCCCTCTTTGAAACCAGTTTTGTGCTGTGTGTCCTGAAAGAAGTCCTTCCACTCCCCTCTCTTTGGGAATCCACACACAAAGACAAACATTTTTTTATGCATTTGTAGCTCCAATTATGGCGCATGTCTACGCTAACTGTTACTGTAGGGTGGGTCCGTGTCAGTGCTAAGAAACAGATCATTTAGGATTACATAACACAACACATAAAGCCTCAAATTTCACTGACAGACATCATTGTCAGAATCTTAACGGTACATTCAATGCTTATGTTTTTTTTTAACATAAGCTAACATTTACTTAATTTTGTGTAAGTCAGATCAAAGAGGACCTGATTTATTAGCGCAAACTGAGTTTTAGTGCAAAAAAAGGTAATGTTGGAATTTACAAAGAAAGCGCCGTGACAACATTGCGTGTAACAGGTGGGAACCCAGCTCTAAGCTCACACGCTACCCATTTATAAATCTGGCCCTTAATGTTTAGTCAGCTTAAAATGATTGTGAAATCAAAGGAAAACTCTTGTATTTTACAGAGGAATAGATCAGAGTTTATAGTCAGACCTGTACACATGTGGTTTCTGGGCTCACATGCAAAGCTAACGGACTCATGCTAGCTTGCAATTTACTGTTGCACAGAAATTAAATGAATTTTCTTGAAATTTCACATGTATATCCTTAATATCCAATATCTTTGCTTTTAGTCTTCACGTGGATAATTGGTCTGCACCATTCATCATCTGCTTCTTTCATTTTGCATTTCCACTTCATCCTGACCTTAAGTCCTAGTATTGAGATTAGCCTGCAGTTCACAAATCTATAGCACAGAGCATTAAAGACCAGAAGTTTGAGCCCTCAGTTGAAACCCCTTAAATGCCTCACTGAGCACTCCTCCATAAAACAGCAGCTGAGCATGCAAAATAACCGCACAGTTTCTTTATAAGTCTGCAGGACTCGGGGACAAAATGTGGGCCTGAGGAATTTACACCAGAGTTAAAGTCCCTGAATTCACTTATAGAAAAGGGAACTTTAAAGTGCAAACATCTAACGTGCTCCTGAGGAAGATTAAGACTTTAACAGTTCATTCATCAATAAATGATTTATGCAGTGACTTGGGTAATATCACAATAAAGGACTGCTGTGGTGTACAGCAGAAGAAATACAATGAAATGGTGTGAAAGTAAGGTCCACATACTGTGGAGACAGCTTTTTGATTTGTAGATAGAAACTGATGATTCTTATTTGTAGGTGAATTTTTAATGAAAACTGTAATAAAAATAAAAGCATGAATGAAAGCCATATCCTGTGTTTCCTGGTAGAGCCACTGAAACCCCGCATACTGGGTCTTTAACACAAGGAAAAGTAGAGTGCATCAGATTGGCTTACAACAGCAGATTTATGATTTTTGAGGCTGATTATGATAATTGTGACTAACTATGTTCCTGCTGATGAGATGCATGTTCATGCTTCTCATGTGAACCACTTCATCTGCAGTTTAATGAAATGAAAAACAACTGTGTGCATTCTTCCCACCCAAGATGAATAAACCGTTTTCCCATTAAATCTGGGTTTTTTGGAACAAGGGCCCAATGAAAAATTACAAAAAAATTCCAAGAGATGTTTTATTTGAAATTTGTTCAGGCATCGCATTCAAAGTTTGTTTGAGCACAATTCCCATCCATGTGTGAAAGATTGGTCGGCTCATTTTACCGATGTGGTGAAACTGTAAACTGAGCCAACAGGAGAGCGACGTTCACCAAATGAGATGGTTTAAGGATGTTCGCTTACCCAATTCTAGACAGATTACAGTTATATTTCACTGTCTGACATTTGGTCCGCCACCACTCGTTTCAAAATAAAATAATAAAAAACTGAGTCTAAACTTTGCTTTTGTTTGGGCTTTTACTGTAATGTGATAAAGCCACAATCGACCATGCTGATCGATTTGAAACCAAATGTTTTCTGCTTGAGGATTGCGCGCTCTCTCTGCAGGGATCTACCCCCGAAAAGGGCAGAAAGCCATCTGAGAGATCTCTGGGGCATAAAATCTGGCACGGCACCCACCAAACCTCACACCACCGCTCTCTCCCTGTTCTGTCTTTCATATCCAATCCATGTCAGTCCATGTTATCATAAGTGATTTTACTCCCAACCACAATGGATAGTTGAGGGTTCCTGCATTATTTTTCCTTATCAATGTGTTCTGAATTATACCGCTGTAATTTGGGTGTGAGTCTCAGCTCGTCATTAGCGCCGCACTTTTGTATTTATGCGTGCGTGTTCGGGTATTTGTTTGACCCTTTCATTTGAAGACAAATTCTTTTTCCTTCTTTCCGCAGGGGGATCAAGGCGACCAGGGACCACGGGTATGCGGTTTGCTCTGACTTCTTGTGATTAGCAGATGAATGTGACTGTGTGTGTGTGCGTCTCCCCCAGCAGAATTGTGGGCAAAAGGTTTGGGATGCATGAAATTCCTGGGATAGTGTTCTTCCAGTGTGGCCAAATACAACAAGCATTTCAGCACTGCTTATTTCCCCATCAAGAAAGGGCAGACGAACGTGCAAAATATTTTGGGAAGCATAGGGTGGTATCCTTTTCAAGATGCAGAAATTTTTTAGATTTTTTTTTACCTTGTGTCTCTAAATTAAATATGAGTACAAGCCTTTGCACACCAGCTGAAGAGCTCTGCTTAATCTCAGCAATAATCAAAAGCCAACGAGCTCAGTCGCTATAATTACTTGTGATTCACTTCAGTCTTCAAAGTGACATGGCATGTTCAGAACTATAATCATTTCCAGCTCTGCCGTTTGACATTTCTATAAAAGTGCTGCTTCTAAATGATGATAATGTGAGTGCTTTTCCGTGCTTGACAGACTCTGAAATTAATTACTCTATCTCCACTTAGCAGCTAGGGTAGCTCTCATTTTTCTCAAATAACGGTTAAAAAAAATGAGCCCTCTTTGAAAAGCAGGCTGCACAGGTTTGTTTAAAGTAGGCTGCATTAACCGAGGGTCCCACGTGCACGAGTCCACTTCTTCTGTATCATGTGGAGTCAGTAGTTTTGAATCCTGGTGACTGATTTCTTTAAGCATGGCACAGCAGGACAAGAGTTTGTCTTGTTTCAGTTTCCCAAGCGGATGTGATCCCAGTTCATATTCGATGCCCACCCAGACGTTAGTCAGCTCCCCTCAGGGCTAAAAAAGCAAGAGATTGTCTTGTGATTTGAATGACCTTTTCTGGGAAATTCGATTAGTGATAGATCTAATGTTACACATGGGCACTCTTCAAATTACAGTCAGGTTGTAGTTTTCCAGGTGGTTTTCCATTTTTGCAATATCTACAAAAACCAAAAAAAAAGAGAGAAAAGAGATGAAAAATATAGTCATATCCTCAGTTAGTTTTTGGTTCAATAAAAGACATTTCATAATAATTATAGCTGCAAGTGCCATAGTACTGAAACTCACAGGAAATGTCTTTAGTGGAACAAAATGTCCTCATTTGGATAGGATTTCTTGGTTTTGCTCCTAATTTGTAGCCTTTTAACCTCGGAAGTGGAGCCATCTGTCACTATCAGTTAAATGATTTATGTTTTGGAAACAGCAGTGTGGCCGGTGGAGTTTTCACAGGTCCTATTTGTCTTAGAGACTACATAAACAAACTGTCCATTTCATGAAAGCGTTTCATTAACTCCCGGTTATGGCAAAACTGTCCCCTAACAGGTACAAATGAACACGGTGTTGTAGTCATATGTGACGGACTGCAGGGGCATAAAAGCAGTCCAGGTCACGGCTAAATTGTATTAACTTCCCAGAGCAGCATATTGACTTTGCACATTAGATTAGTAGGTAAATGTAGTGTAGCGGTATTAGAAGGTTTTCCTTAATAAATGAAGGCATAACAGGACGAGTACTGCCTGACCTTGAGTCCATCTATCAGGCTGGAAGTGAAGCCAATTTCATGCCCAGTATTGACTGCGTGCAGGGAGTTGATTAAAGCCATATGGAGATACGTGTATACAAGAGAACATGTGAAGAGTGTCCCGTATGCACCAGTTTGGCAAATTCCCTTCAAATATAAACAGATTTAAACTTAAAATAACTTTTTTTTGGTGTGTTTTCTTGTAACATCAGGGGATCAGTTTAGAGTCTGATCCTCTGTGACCAAAGACGGTAAGAGATTCGCCATGTGTCCGAGAGAATTCCCTCACAAATGCCTACTTCCTCTGCCTGTTTCACGCATATCACAGTCAGCCATTTGTCTGCCCTGAAGGTCAAAGGTCATCTCCAAACATCAGAGGTTAACCAAGCAGCAAATAATAAATCGACCAGCTTTAACAAACAAATACACAGCCAGCTCTGGAACTCCACTTTTAAAATACAATTAACAGGAGTTAGTAGCTATGCATATCACCGAGAAAGGTGTGTGGTCCTTTTGAGAGATGGCACCAGCTACAGCTGTCAAGCAAAGGTTGAACAATTCCTGGGTTCACTGAAGGGGGGAAAAAAAATCTGAAAAATTCCCAATAAACTGCCCAAATGTGACCGATGTGCAATATTCTTCCAAAATAAAGAGGCCACGATTATATAATTTCCAGGATTTGACTTTTTAGTCATGAACAAAGAATTATTTTCAGTGTATTTGTGCATGAAATCAAAAAAGCCTTCAAATGAATTTCGCTCGAGATAAATTCGATGTATCCGATTGATGCCAAATCTGAGGCTTCAGATGAATGTGTTATTACACACTTAAATGTATTAAAGCCATCTGTGTACAGAGCTGGTAATTCACTCCATATATAGATATTCAGAAAATGCCACAGCCTGTAGTCGCTCGGGATGTTTTGTGTGTTTGGTGTGGTTGAGGAGATGCTGGATCTGGCCAGCGTCCTATAAATGAGGATGCCTGTTGGCCTCGTATACGGCTTATTGTTTACTACAGATCCCAGTCACCTCGCTGCAGGCAAATACATGGAAACAAAGCTCCTTACCAAATAACCAACATCCGTTTCGGTTTAGCAAAGCAAAACAAGGCAGTCTGCGAATGGTTAGGATTCTCTGTCAACCACCATGTCATTATCATTCTCACATATTGACATCAGCTTGGAGGCAAGAGTAAGAGTTTACCCACACCTAGCCAAGCTTCTCTGCCTTTTAACCTCCTGCACAGAAAGCCTGAATTGTGTTTTAGACATGGTTGTTGTCAGAATGGCCACCACTTTCTCTTCGTTTGTCCCGTGCTGGCGTCTGAGAATGACCGTACGGTTTAAATTCACGACTCTAGAGACATCCCAGAAAGCAGTCGCATGTGCCAGCCTGCACATGAACAACACTACATTTCATGCCTTGACTTTTTATATTCTCTATTCCCACTGATCATAATCCAGTGCTTGCTTTCCCTCTTTGTCCTCGAGACATTTGAAGTTGTAAATAACATTTGAGGTTGTAAATAACTTGAAAAATACTTGCGCTTCAATTCCAGTTATGCACAGCGTGGCTATTGTATACAGTGTAAGAGTATCCACTGCTGTGCTCGGCTGCAGGCCTGAATTAAATTAGCCTGCCTTGAAACCCATATTCTTAATGAGCCATGCTTTTTGAGTTATCTTTAGAAATCCAGAGGGACGGCACAAAAGCCATGTTTGGATAGGACAGATTTTATCTTAAACTTGAATATATATAAAGATTGATCCCTTGCAGGCCATGTTTATGCTACTATGCCAGTCTTTAAGATATGTTTTCATCATTTCATTCAGGCTGGTTATTTCTGACATAGCAAACCTGCAGGATAAGAGGATAAACAAGTGAATATGCAGCGATTGTGCAACCAGTGTGTGGTCATCTTTTGGTGCCATTTTATAGTTTTATTATTAAAGAAAAACTTATTTATATCAGCACCACACTCCTTTCAGTTACCCCTTCTAAGACCGCTCAGGGTTTCACCGTTTGCACAGCAGTTTTAGTTTACAGTGATACACCAGCTCACCTTGTACAAGTTGATTTTTTAAGTAGGGCTTCCATGTCACACAATGCATAAGAAAGGCAGGCTTTCATTTTTTAACTAACAACTGCTACAATCTCAAATGAGGCATATTGATCAAGAACTGGTTAAAACTACTGACTCCAGCATGTTATTATCCAGCTGACTTAGTATGAAAAAGAGAAACATTTTTAAAAATTGGGCTTAAATACATACTTAATCTCTGCCTATATAATATCATAGCTAGGCTAGAAGTCCCCTAATATAGCAATCCTCTCTTTAGCATTTAGCTGCTTTAAACATAAAAATAATTGCTCATGGCTTCTTGACATATGAACTTTCTCATATTTCAAAACATATGTTTTCCATTTGAGTAATAGGAGATCAAAGTCTTTAAGGAAGAACAGGATCCGATGTGTGTGGCAAATGCTACATTTTGGCTAATGCTTGTTTTTTGGTAACATCTCCCAAGTGCAGTAAAGGACTTGAAATATCATAGAAACAATTGGGACATCCAACAATCTAGTTGTACAGTGTAAACTGTAAGCAACAGCTGCAACGCTGCAAATTTACGTGGGTAGTTATATACATTCAGTCAAAGAATGAATAAACAATTAAAGCAAACTTAGTTTAAAGCTAGGTTTTTTAGCCAGTTAGCCAGACATGCTAACAATTCTAGTTCATGTCAGTTCATTGGTTCACCCCATGCCCTGGTGAATTTAGGTGTTAAATCAACTTTCGAGGTTGATAGCATTATAGCACTGTAACATTGATAGCATCATTTAGCTAACTAGCATTTCTGGCACCAGCTAGCAAGGGCAGCAACATTTCAGTGTCTAGTCAACTAGACGCGCGCCTGCCTAGTTTATGACACTTTGAGTGTAAAAGATGATCTGCTGCAGTTTGATAGGCATGTAATAAAATGCAATGAAATAAAAATGTGTCAGCCTATTGATATACCCATCAATGTGATTAAATTTAATGGGCTGCATTTATTTGACTGTAGCATTTGGACAACCATGTTTAGCTGACAAAATGTCAGCGTTTCTGGATTCAGATAAAAGCTCTTCTTTGCAGCTGTAAACTATTGTCATCTTTTAACAAGGAGAAAGCCCGATGTTTTCTTCTTCCCTCCAGTTTTTATGTTTGGATCACATCTGTCATGAAGTTTGTTGACAAGGGAGTTGGAAACCATTTGACTGAATTTCCATCAAACATCTTGAGTGTCTTTGTGTTCCCTGAAGCTAAACGAACAATGCCACTTCTCAATTTACCAGCCTGTTATAGCTCAAAGTGTATTGTATGAATATTATTTCAACAAACGTATAATTGGAAGAAAACAAGAGGAAATGGTTACTTGTGCCATTGCAGCCCACACAGGATGATCCCAGTGCCATTGAACACACAGTTTTATTGAGGAAAGTAAACTTGGACTGTATCAAAGTTAGCTGTTTAAAATAAAATACCTGGTCTTGTTTAGCTTTGAATTTAAATGTCTGGTCCTCAGAAGTCTTTGTTTGACAGTTAACTTTGATGTTGGCTTTTTACGGCTCTTAAAAACTCATATATACATGTCAAAGAATTCCACATATTATATTTCAAACATTTATGAGGCTAGTTAGAAGCAGGATGCTTGTCTCCTTCCTTCTTCAACTGTTTTTGTTCACCCAGTGTTTGAATATCATGCGTGTGTTGTGCCATGTTCTGCTATTTGTCCCTTCAGGGATTGCCTGGTCTCCCTACGCTGGCTGCTTTGCACAGCAATCAGATCCTGACTGTCAAGGTTTGTCGGTGGTGCTGCTGCCTCGCTGCTCAGTCCGACCCCTCTGCAGCACACACTGGAAGTAAATTGTTGGCTGCCTTTCTCAAGGAGTGATGATGGAGTGCACGCAGGAAAAGTGCAATCTAATTAATCACAGCAGGTCAACCATTAGCCTCTTCTCAACACTTCTGCTACTAGTCTTTTCGCTCAAGAGGTTTGTTCTCCAGTCGACATGCTAGGCAGGTCAAGTGAATGCGTTGGCCTGTTACAACCTGGTAATATGCAGGTGACTAAACAGGCAACATCCTGAACACAGAGATGGTTTGGCTTGTGTCCATTGATGCTAAAATGAATTGAAGGAACTCCCAGAGGAATACTCAGTGATGAAGCAAAGTGGCATTTTTTTTCTTAAAGCTCAAGTTCATGGTTCACCACAAATCCTCCGATCCTCTAGCACGGCCTTGGGGATTGTTTCACTGCCAAATACCAATGGACACAAGCAGAATCAGACATGTGCTGGAAAAAGATTAGAAATGAACCTCAACTCAAAGGTTTGACCTCGCTGGTTTCAGTGTGCGCAGCTCTCAGGGTCTGACATAGCAGCAGGCACGACGATGATGATGACGGCACTTTCACAGTGGAGGAGTGATTCCCATTTTTCCAGGGGACTGCGAACTCGCTGTGGCGCGCTCGCACCCCAGAGGTGATAATTATGGGCCCTGGCTCCAAAAAATAAGCCCAGACTTCCTCAGCAAACCACCTTGGTGCTGGAAAAGTGTGGATTTCTCCCACCACCCCATCTGTGAAGGTGCTGGACCGGAGTTCATGAACACAGGCCTTTCTAACAGAATCTGTTTCTTTTTGCATTTGCCTTCCTCCTCCTCCTTCTTCTTCCTCCTCTGGGACTTCATCCTTCTTCAACCTTCTCTCACCTCTGACCTACGACCTCTTGACCTCACACACCTGCTCAGATGGTCTTCCCTAAGATCAATCATGGCTTTCTTTCCGCTGACCAGCAGCTCATAAAGCGACGGCTCATTAAGGTAGTGGGTGTGTCCTCACTCTCTCTGTCCACCGTGCCAAGTCTCACCAAATCACTTCTATTTGGCCACTTTGCATGCAAGCCTTCAGACAGATCTGTCATAAGCACTCACGCTCCTTCTGTTATTGTTAAAGGAAAATATGGAAACTTCATTTTAAAAAAAGCTTTTATTAAGGTAAAATGAATTACTGTCCTGGAACCACTCAAAGGTTTTTCCCTGCAACTTAGGTTGCAGAATATTTTCATAGAATTTCTTATAATGCAGTATCATAATGGACCACACATTTTCAGTATATTTCCCCTGATTATTGTAGCTCTATACTTGTCAACTTCAAATGGGACTTCTTTGTTTTTTTGGAGTCGTTACCTAAAGCACCGTCCTTACTCAACTCATTATGGCCCTGTAGGATTGCATGCATTTTAAAGGATTAATATTTCAGCTACAAATCATTACGTTGCAGCTCCTCCTAACTTAAGTTGTATGCTAGCTCCAAAAAGCTCATTCGTCATGTTATAAATGGAGGCAGCCCATCGCCACCCACAAGAACATTCCACGACTCTCTCTTAATTATCATTTCACTGTAGTGGCTCCAGTCTCAGCAGTCCAAAAATAACACACCATAATGATTCTTTAATGTGTTATTTCGCCACACAGGGAGATCAGGGGCAAGCAGGGCCACCCGGGCCCCCGGGGCCACCGGGCCCTCCTGGACCGAGGGGGCCTCCAGGAGACACTGGCAAGGATGGGCCCAGAGGTGTGCCTGGTCTACCGGTGAGTACTGATTGTTGCTTGGCATCTGAGAACGTTTGATACTAGTTTTTTTTTCTACTCTATGTATCATTAAAATTTGTTTGGATCAGCAAAATTCTGTCAGCGTATCCTGTAATAAATACTCTGTCATTTCCAGTAAGTTTTAAACAAGTTCAGCTCTGTTTGTGCTTCTATTCAGTATGATTTTGACTTGTTGCTGGGAGGGTTTATTCCAACGAAAACCTTTCTAATAAATACTAGACAAGCTACATTACAATTCATCGCCCTCACGTCTATATAACTAAACATGAATAGGCTCCCAGGAGAAGGTTTTACTGTATAGATTTACATTCACGTGGTTGTTTTTCATTACCACGTAACATTTTCCATGTTCTTAAGCCTGTCATTGGCATCACGCTAATTTATGTGAACTTTGCCTGTGAGAGAAAGAAGAAACAGAAAAGGCCTGTCAATTATGTTGAGCTATAAAACCTTCTGAGGGATCCAGATCTTTATTGTCTTGGCAGAGATCACAGTAGGAGTGCGAAAATATTAAGTGTTGTTTATCTGGTTCTTTCCAAGTTTTTAAGATGATTTGCAATTCTTCCAGTGGCAGTAGTTGTTGCGTTTTCCCAAGAAATTGGTTTTCTTTTGCGAGGCCGCTTTATTGCTCTTGTGATTTAGGTCTCCTTTCATGAATAGCTCAGGAGGAGCGTCGCAAAAATTGTCCCGCAAAGACGTACCAATCAAATATGTACAAACATCGCTTTGGCATGTTCCTACAGTTCTCTGCTACACCACGAACTGTTGGAACATCGGTGCGATAGACATGAACCAAAAGTCGAAACAAGAACAAGGTTTCTGGAAACATACAGTGCAGGGTGCAGGTGGCACAGCTGGATAAGTGCCTCTCAGCCTACTTGGTGTATGGGCACAATGGCAAGCTCCTCTTTCAGCCTGGCTGCTATGCACCATATATTGGCTATTTGATACTATAATAGAAGGAATTTGAACATAATATGGAGAAAAGCAGCATTTTAAACGCAAGACTTGTTTTAGGTAAGATTATAACATGCTCTGCTTCCATTAACGATTTTATGTTTCTTACAGGGTGATCCAGGACAGCCTGGGGAAACGGGACCCCTGGTGAGTCCAAACTTTGTTTCGAACATCCCCGTCTGTGGCTGCCCTGACACGCTAATTAACAACGTAGCCTTGCAGAATTGTTTAACAAAATGTAGGCGATACGAGTCCAGGGTTTTTCTGGGTAGTTTGACATTTTGAGAAATGGACATATTAAGACTTAGATGAAAAGAATGATCGCTTGCGTGACTTTTCATAAATATGAAATTATTGCTAGCAGTCACTTAGCTTAGCGTGAAGATTGCAAATGGAGCAGGACTGCCAGATCTGGCCTCTCCAAATGTGAGGAAATTGGCCTGAAAAATGCTTTAATGCTCACTAATTGACATGTTATAGACATTCTGAGTTAAATGCATGCAGAAGTCGGAGTGTACAGGGGAGTCCTGTGTGTATATTTCCTTCCTGGAATTATCTAAATGGATGGAGACTCTTTTCTCTGGTTTTCCAGTTAAGCCAGACCCCAAGTTGAATTAGTGTCTTATTTATGATATTATGTGCAGAACTGTCAATGCCAAGGTAATTTTCCAAAGGTTCTCAAGCTTTGGACTGTATTTTATGTATTTATTTAATTATAAACGTAAGTTTTCATTTTATGTTTTTTTATCCGTTGTACTCAAAAGGCTGGAAAAGCCTTTTTTTGTGTCAATTTCTACTGAAAACATCAAAACTATGAAAAAAAAAAAGAAGAAATTATGTAGCAAGTTTGGTTTAATCAGAGCCAAATATGTTTCATATGTAGGACTTCTCAAAGCGGGCTCTGTTGTTCTAATGGCACCATTTGACTGGCAGTGTATATATTTTTCGTGAGATATTTGTGAGATGGTTCATCGATATGACAGCGAATGACACGTTTTATGCTAACTTGTTAAGAAAAAGTTTGTTTTCCCTCACAAACCCTTTGTACCGCATGGACGAGTCGCTGCTCCAGTTGATGGCAACTGGATACCACTTGCGGTGTTCAGCAAATAAAGCACTTGATTAAAGTTTCCTCATAAAAGCTACAACGAATAGGTCAAACCAAATTCCAGGGAGAGCAAGGATGGAAAACGTGATACAAAAAACACTCGATGTCACATCAGTGGATGCGGGGAGTGAAGGGAAGTGAAGCTGACAGAAGAGGTATTATCAAGTGCTTTCATCTCTGACTCCAGCTCCCCTTGACCTTTTCCCCTGTGGAAAAATTTGGTGGGCTGGGGAGAAATGGACAGAGGAAATAATTGAGGCTAGAGCGAAAAAGACGCATTGGGTAAAGGATCCAAAGGTGCTAATCAATCTTAGACGACTTAATGGGCGATCCTCTAAAGTAAAGTTCCCTCCCTCTTTCTGCTTTTTAAGTTACTGTTGCTTTTGTTGGCTTCGTGTTTTATCCCACTTTGGGCGGGTAGCTGTGTAAGCAGCAATGTTCGGTTTGAAAATCCACTCTGTGATGAATGTACACTTTGCGATGGATGTTCCCAGGTGCGCTCACATAAGCCTAGTGTTTGCACAACCTCCGATGACCAATGAACAGAGACTCTCAACCCGTCTGAACGTGAATTAAGGACTGTTTACTGTAACTGCTGAAATGAAGCATCCTCTTTCACAAGTATATACACAGCGTGACACTAATGTACTTTTAACAAGGAGTAAAGTCATCGCCCTATAAAGCAGCGTGAGATGAGCATGTCCCAGCAGTTGTAAAAACATGTGACAGCACAGTTACTGCGTTTGCGGCCTGTGATTTCATGCAACGACAGAATGTTTGCTGCTCCCTGGTAAAAAAGAGCAAAGATAAGATACTGGATTAAAGAGAAGAGTTTCTGTAGCTGATAAACCTCTGGAGAAGAAATAAAAAGACATTTTCCCATCTAAGAGAAGAAAAAAAAAATCCCGCCAGTCCCCGCCCTTGGTTGGCCTGTGCAAATCAATATGAATTAGATGCATAAGCAACAAGTCTCCACTTTGTGCAGCCAGCTGAAAGAATAATCTGTGATTGGCACATCTTGATCTCCACAAGTGAGCCGGAGGCAGGGATTCTGAGGTCACCGCTCGACCGACTTTTGCTTCTTTTGCAGCGCTCTCGGCGCTAGCGCCCACTTGACACAGCTCGGAGTTTTTTTTTTAATGTAGATGCTATTGTTAAAGGGGCAAAAGTAGATTCCAGAGTTTTCCAGCAGCCTTCCAGGACATGTGGTGCTGGTTAGAAGGATTAAGCTCTTGTGGAGAAACAAGGAGGAGGTGGTGGGGGGGGGGAGGTGGAAAGAAGAAGAACAAGAAGAAGAAGAAAAGGAAATATTTTCAGGACTAAGTTCAAAATCATCAGCGCCACGAGGTCTCTCTGTGGTAAATTAAGGGGGTCTTCAGCTCTCCAAAGGTGGCTTGCAGCCCCACACTCAGCATTCATCTGGAGCTCAGCTTGTTCAGAACAAAAAGTCCAAATATGTTCCATCCAAAGCTGAGAGAAGCCTCTTCCATCTGCTTTTTGGTGTAATTTCCAATTATGCAGCAGACTTTCACTGATCCCCTTTTGCATCCTATTCATTCCAAAGCTACCCACAATGCACCAGTAGCTCACCTTGGACAATCAATGAAAAAAAACTCCACAGGCATGAATGTAGGGACACATTCGCGCCTCAAAAGCCTGTTCAATGAAGACATACCTCTGATATTTTATTGACCTTGACTGAGTTTTCCTTTGCTGTAAAGCCAAACATGAGGAGCAAAGATGTGAGCGAATAGCTTATGACATGGTCGGGGAAATCAAACAATGTTGTGGGAAATGTGGACAAAACCATTTTAGTGGAACAAATCTGTTTGTTCTTAAAGGCAAATTCCTATTTTTACAGCCTTGGGTCTTATTATGTTGTTAAAACAAAGCACACCTACACTCAGGGGTTTTGTCTGGCATGCGGTTTCGTCCCACGGTGCGAAGTCATGTACGTGAGGTTAATTACAGATTCTAAATTGGCCATAGGTGAGGATGTGAATGGCTGTTTGTCTCTCCCTGTTAGCCCTGTGATGTACTGGCAACTTCTCCATGTGTACCCTGCCTCTCGCCCAGTGGCAGCTGGGGATAGGCCCCACCCTGTATGGTTAAGTAGTTAAGGAAATGGATGGATGGATTGATAAATGAGCCCGCAGACAGGACCATAGCCAGAATGTTTAAAATGCTGAGGTCACTGGATCACATTTACCTGCGGGGACTACAGCTGGAATGTAGCTAGTAACAAAATCCATTACAAAGCCTCTCTTTTCTTCTCTTTGACCCGACTACCACGTAAAGCATATAACTTTAAATCAAAGTGCAGATGTTTCATGAAAATAACGGACATTTTAATCAAATCCTGTGAATCTTCTGTAAGCTACACGTGTGGCCTACAAAACTCATCCATACTGCAAGGCGTGTAATTGTTGTGGAGATATTACAGATCAGAGCCAGCATGAAAATGTGACATCTGTAATATATGTATATAATCTAAAATCACCTGAATGTCAGTGAGCATCTGCCCACTCCAAGTATACTGTGGGGTCAGACGTGGCCCTGAAGTTACGAGCTACTTTTGACATGAGTGCACCAAATGTGGCCCAAATGTCACAGCACATCTGACATCTGGCCCCTCTATTGTGTCCGCCTGTGGCTGAGCTGAAGCAGCCATTCTCACCATGAATCAACATTATCAGTACAGGCCAAAAGAGACCTATACACAACTGTTAATACGGGCCATGTTTGGGCAATACATCCAGTGTTATCTGAGCCTAGATCCTCTAAATAGACAAAGAAGTGGCCTTCACATCCCCACTGATAGCTAAGGCCACATCCATACTGTAGTTTAGAAAGCAGTCTGCTATCAGATGTCTTTTAAAACAGCCTAATCTCAGCGCAGCCATGACAGGTGAAGGTTTGAATGGTTTAACTTAAGCCATTCTGCATTATTGCTTTACCAGGCTACAGTGCTTTCTACAGTGCTTTTGTTTATAGTGGCAGGAGCAATAAAGAGTGATTGAAAACTCTTAGAAAATGTTATGTGAACAGTTTGAATAAAGCACGCCTCCGCAATAAGCACATATAGCTACAACTTAAGGCAAAAAAGAGAAAAAAATACATTTGTTTAAAAGTTTAAATAGTTTATAATAGTTGAAAACTCACAGTATAACTGACACAAAAGCCTTGAACGGAACAAGCTTGAATGTGGAGCCTTTCTGTTCTATGATCAGACGAATATTTTTTATGTGAATGCCACACATTCTGGAAGTCCTTCAACTTTCAAAGGTTCAAGTGCTGCTGATTGAGTGTGGGAATTGACCTGGGAATGGCTTCATTGTTCGCAACGTCCGAATCATGAATGAAAGTACCAAACATTCAGCGCATTGTATTTGTGCTCGGATGCTCGACTTCAATAGGCAGCCTGTTGATATTGCACATTTGTGGAATTTCTTTCCTTTATGAATGCTAAATGAGGCAGCTAAGCCGCTACATGCTGAACATCTGCTATCGTGATGAACACTTTCAGATGGAATAATAATCCTTTTTCACAAAGATCTTTGGATTGTTCTTCCCTTTTCATTTTTCACCAAAGTCAGGATCCAGGGTTGAGAACCAAAGAGCCAAGACTTCCTTAAGCGCTCTTGACTTTCTTTAAAAAAACAAACAAAAAAACTCCTTTTCAGCAGTAGCTTCTGAGTGTTCTCAGATGTAGCCAAGCTAATTAGCACTCAGGCGAGCAGCACATGCTCTCACATACCTAGTGGGTCATAAAGATGTTTACTAAACCCTACTGAGGACAGCTAACAAAGGCTTTTAAAGGCAAATGGGAGGAAAACCTTTTTCTTGGTTGGCTAGGATAATGAAAGTTGTTCATTGAGGTTTTTGCTGTAAGTGCACAAGGAATGCACCATAAATGAGCTGCAACTGTGTGGGCCATTTCTGAAAATGTGAGAACTTGTTGCTACAGGGATTTTAACGGGCCAATTTTGGGGAAAAATGGAAATTGGGAGAGGGAAGTTTTGAGGTACAGTTACTTGGTGATAGCCCGTTTTAACAACAAATACTAAAACCGATCCAACAATCAGCTTATTCGCAGAATTTAATCGCCGTGAAGTCACAAGTAGGCCGACATCAAACCGGGCTTCTTCTTCAGGCAAATTTGCACTGACAGTCTTAACTTTTCAACCCGAACGTGTCCTCGTTGGCTTCTTTTTAACACTCTCACACAAACGTTTTACACACATCAGGGGACCGTATCTTGAGCTTTGCCAGTTATACATCGACGTGAGCAAAGCGAGGAAAAGTTGCTGCTGTAGAGAGCCTGCGGGGCACAAGGTCCGCCTGGCCTTGACTCAGCTGCGAGCGACGAGCCAAATGGCCGAAAGTGTGAAAGAAGCCGGCCAACGTGAGGTGTCATAACAGCCAGGCGTAAAGGTGTTGATGAACTGCCGCGCTGGTGCGATAGCTCAAAAGTCTTTGAGAAACAAGGAAGGAGCTAACTTTCACCCAGGCTTCCCAGTTTCTTCACGATGCGGTCGTGTTGTTTTAGGCAGCTTCCAGCGGAGGAGGCCGACAGCCCAACGCGGCCTCCAGTTTCACTGCAGTAAACAGCAGGTTGTAAATAGAAACTGTCCTCCCAAACACATCGATCCATGATTTAAATCTGCCTTAGAGATGAGGCGCCTTTTCCCCCCCCGTTGGCTAACTTGTTAGCTTTGCAAAGCTTTCCAGATATTGGCCCATTTAGGTAATGAACCTCTCTATGTGTTGGACCGTAGACTCGGAATGTAGCGCGGCCAAACGAGACAAGTTTTTACAGTCACTAAAACGAGTAAAGACAGATCAACATAAAAGATAAAACCATAAAAGCTTTTGTTATTCATGAGCTTATTAAAGATTCCTGTTTATGGGTCACTTCAGCGAAAAGAAGGCAGGGAGTGAGCGGATTTTCATTCTTTGCTGGAGAATAAAACAAGGGATTGATTGTGATTCGGGTTCTTCCTGAAGGGTGTGTGCGCGCTGCATGAAATCCTACCACAAGCTCTGCCAGTCTCTCTGCTCTGACCATGTTGGCTCTGGTAATTGTATTATTTCATCTCACATGAACTATTTTTGCTGCGTTTCTCCTGCACTCAATCTCTCTCCGTCTCTCTTTTCATTTATAGGGACCTGAGGGGCCGCAAGGATCGAAGGTAAGTTACAGAAAATCATTTCTTTCTTCTTGCTGGCATTTCTTGCTTTTCTTAAAGAAAACTAAATGAGATTCGCTGACTTGGTTGTGACATAAAAGTACAAAGGAAACTTTTTTTTTTTGTCCCTCTGTTGAATTCTGATCTAAACAAAACTGTTTTTCATTTCACAGCAGCTCTCGTTGCACAAACGGTTGTAAACGTGTTGTTTGATGAGTATGTTTACCTGCATATTAGCGACAGACACTGCGCAGTCATGGTGAATAAACAGGAGAAGTGGGGAAAAAAGGGTGACAGAGAAGGAGAGAGATGGAGAACAGAGAGCCTGGAGCTAAGTGCTGTGATACAGGCTGCGGGTCCCTGGTGGCGCTGATGTGAGGAACAGATGTAAGCTATATCCAGCCATCAGGTAGCTGCCAGTGTTTGTTCAGTGTAACCCAATCAGACACTTCCTGTCTGCACTGTCATCTGTCGGCAAGGCCTCCCGTCGGCGTGGGAGAGGGAGTGTGTGTGTGTGGAGGGGTCAATGATGACACACCACAGTGTTAATGACTCATAAGCCAGGCCCGGAGGCTACTCAATTAGATCTGCTGGTAGTGGAGCGCTGTGTTTAGTAGAGGGGCCGCGTCGAGGGTTATTCAAGTTTCATCAGCTCGGTGACTGATTCGGTGCCACCGCATGACGAAAAAGTCCAGCGTGAACGGTTTTCAACCCTCGACACGATGCTTTCCTGCGACTGTATCTCACATCTCTCAAGCATCTCTGATACATCTTTAAATGCGACCGGGAACTCTATAAATAGCTTTTATTATGAAAGCGGTGCAAAAAGCCAACATAAGCAAACCGCGAAGAACAGAGAGCGGGCGTTCATTAAAACACGCTTGGCCCTCAGAGTCTAAACCAACTTTTACTAAGCTGACGCAGTAGATGCGGTAAAATCTCGAGTACATCTGCTGTGCGAAACATTTCTTTATTTCACAGGGCAGTACATTTTCAGTTTGAAGTGCAGCAGGAGTGTTCTCAGTCTTGCCTTCTGGCTGTATTGTCCATAACAGAGCAGATGATGAAATATGACATGCAGTATTTATGCTGGTCTGGCGCAGTAACATCAGAGCACGCCCTGATCAGCGGCAGACAGAACGGATACGCCGCCGGTGTTTATTTACAACCGTTGAGCCGGCCGTGACGGTACGAGCAGCGAGATGGTCGAATGTAATGATGCAAAAAACCCAACAAACTTTGCTTTTATTTCCCAGGGTTCACTCGGGCCTCCTGGCATCCCCGGTGTTGATGGACTGAAGGTGAGCAAACTCATTTACACTGAATTCTTGTAAAGCTCTACACTTCTGGGCTTTTAACTAGTTCTTGCTGACTTGCTGTTGTTTTTATTAGTGAATGTACTTTTCCAAGAGGAAAAAAACACCACTACTAGGCAGCATTATTGTCCCTCAAGACTTTTTATGTGTCCCTAAAATAAAAATATGCACACAAAGTTCAGAGAACCAACATCCATCTGCGTACCTGATAGTATTTTATCATGAAAAGGCTCACTTGAGCATTAATCTTTCGTTAATCTTTCTCCCCATGTGTTTTAGTTTTTTATATAAGAAAAAAAAAGTTCTGACAGTTTCAAACCACTATTTCGGTTTGGGAGAAAACCCGTGGGCTTCTTCTTCAAGCCTTAACCACAAAGTACCGTTCTGGCTGCCTCTGAATCTGTTCACACACTCGGCTCATGTCTGCTATTCATTCTCGGAGCGGATAAAGAAGACGCAGTGCAGGTGTTTCACAATGGGTGGAGGGAAGGAGAAAAAAGAGATGGAAAAGCATATTTATTCCAGAACAAACGATGGTATAAGTGAAGAGAATGAATGGAGAGGCAGTTTGAGGGTTGCATCGCTCTAATCTGAAACATGCACTTATAAAGAAAGGAGAGGCACGTATGGCTGTAATAGGAACCAGAGTGAAGAAGTTTCATTTTAAAGTAAAATCCATGCTAACTCTGGCTACAGTGGAGGCTGAAAGCTTAATTCTGTTTCCAAAATGAAAGGAGTGAGGTTTTGTAGCAGCCATGAAATAGATCTCCAATGCTGTGCAGTGCAGTTATAAAGCAGAACCTGTTATGGTATGTAAGTCTCACTCTTGCAGAAAGTTTGACTCAAAAGCAGTTAAAGGTGCTCAGGCGGCAGTGGCGGGTCCACTCGCACAGACACGGTATTGATTTGACATGGATATCCCAGCAGAATCACTAATGCCACCTTATCAAGCCAACCTTTGGAGTTCCTAACAGACTCTATCATCATTATGTCAATAGGGTGTCATTATTATGTCAATGACTTCCATATGCGGCTGACGATTGATCTGAGGCTTCGGCGTTTATGACGAACATCACCACGAGTGTGTAGCTGCAGGGACACGCCCAGCGCGGATCAGACACGCCGAGTTTCCCATGAGCATGAAGCATTTTGGGGAACAGTGAAAATAGCATTAAGATATTGAAAAATGACATCCAGTAACACAGTTTTCCTTCGAATATGGCCAGTACCGAGCTGCCTGGTGACATGTATTTTAATCCAAGTAATGCACTGCGTTATTTTTCCACTCTGGCTACATTAATCAGCTTCATCTGGTTAAAGCTGTCTGTCTGGGCTGAGGAATAGCTACTGCTCCTCTGAAAGGGTAATGACGTGGTATGTTTGCAAAGGTCAGGAGGTTAATTGTTTCTGGCAGCAGATGGACAGAGGTTGGTTTTTCAGCTAGGGAGCCGCGGAGACAAGGGATCGAGGCTAACGGCAAACTGGCATCCGTCAGACGGGCTTGGCTTTTCTTCTTCTGCACATACACAGAACCAAACCAGATAATTAAGCTTTTAATCAGCTTGTTTATCCTCTCGTCTTTCATATTCACTTTGTGGTTTCAATATTTGATACATGTGAACTTTTGGGGAATGTTATAGAATTCATAGTGCTGTAGCTGTACATTTACGCTCCTTACAGCAGTTCTGTCAGTGTAGCTGTATCTCACCTGTCTCGTGCTGCATTACCAACTATCCTGCAAAAGCCCTTTGCACCATACACTCACTCTTGTGTCTGAGTCAATTGTTATCTCAATTTTAAGAAGAAAAATATGCATTTTCTTTTGTTTTGTTCGCTTTTTGTGGGGTGGGGAGTGTAGGGGTCATATCTCCTGACCTTGAATCTTTAGTCGAACTGCTTACGCAGCACACTGAGTCAGTCACTGTGTGTATCTTGTGCTGTCCGTAGGGGGATGTTGGCATCCCAGGACTGGACGGTGTTCCAGGAGCCAAGGTCGGGGTGCACACATATTCTGTGTGCTCATATTCTTGTGAAGTCATAGCAGTCGCTTTTTTCCCCCTTTTTTTGGGTTAACCCTCTGAGGTCAAAGTCATGTTATCCCACCCTGCACTTTGTGAGAGCAGCAGCAACCATTGCCAGCAAACTTTGCAATATCAAACTAAAACAAAATCCTGAATCCCAAATATCTGTTGAGATGATCTAAAATATAAGACTCAATGTGAACACTTTTGCTGTTATATGGATTATTTTACATAGCTTAACAATATCATTATCACATCAGAAACCTTCCATGTAACTGCACTGTTAGTATATAGTTCACACTTTTAATACAAACTGAAACAGAGACTCCGTGAGGCTGCGTCTTGCTGCAGGGTCATCTTAATTCAGTCATGTGATTTGGAGATGTCCCTTGACTCCAGAGGGTTAAAGTCATTTGCAATACTTTCCTTATCCTCTCACAGAAGCATCTCCCCCTTTCAGTCATTTTTCATCTTACCTTTTGACCATCAGCCGTTTTGTCCCTTTGTGATTTCTTTTTCATGGTTTTGAAAAACATGCATATACATGTATTCGTCTTTGATGTAACAGAAAATATATATCCTCCATGAAGACTTTAATGCATGGTATAAAAATATGTTGCAATGATAATGCAAGGACGATTTTAAATTTAAAAAACAAAAAAGTTCATGTCAGGGTCTGTCTGGGGAAAAAAAGCAGTCATAACATTTATAATCAAATATGAATTTAACCCCAGATACGATCTGACCCTGAGTGTGTGCAATAACCCCCCCAAACCCTCATTTTTTTCTATCTCTGCTGCTCTGCTTTCCTTCCTAACAGGGTGAAATGGGAGAACGAGGTGAAAAGGTAAGGCGCTAATTTGGATCTTCGGACATTATTGCTAGCGTCAGTCTGTTATCTCATCACCACGACTGCAGCTTTGCCTTTACATCTCCCAGCTCCAGCTAGTTTTTTTTTTTTTTTTTGAAGTTGCCTCCCTTCTGTAACTTAGCCACCAGTGAGTCAGTGATTTAGTGAGTCACAAAAACTGCACCCAGCTTCACCGACTCCAGGCCGTGAAGTAAACCTAAGAACAGACCCATAAAACAGCTTCACAGAGGAACGGCAGCTTTATTCCCTCTGTTCTGTAATTGTAATGGTGCCCTTATTTGCTGTTGTTGGACGGCAGCGGGGTGGGAGGTGTGAAACACTGACCGGGATGACAGTGCAGCGGGCTGGAGAGTTAAGTGATGACTTATCGTGTGTGCTTCATCGACCACAAAACTGGCCCTCGGGCAGTCGTTGTCAGCTGGATCAGTTCTGAGCTGAATCAGAGACAGTGTCTCTGTCACTAACACACCTGGCTTGCTGTAAAGATGTGACAGCATCTCCTAGCAATCCCAGTTCACAGCATCGTGTGTATCCTTTACCGCGATGCACAAAAAAAGGTCAAAGTGAAAATATTTTTTTAGCACAATGGATTGAAAAAGAACACGAGCATCCAGTGTGTCAGTTCGTGTTAGTATGAACCTGGTTCTGTGCTTTGTCGACTCCTGGCCGCTTGGCTTTGCCACAATTTCCACGTCTTAAACATCGTGACCAGTTTTCCAGAAGAGGGATGCATCTTTTTCAGATCATTTCATCAGGTTGCAGGAGGGTAAAGAGGAAACCACGTCCAGTTAATTAAGAAAATTCTGACAAAATAAACAATTTGTTCTGCAGATTTAATTTTTTTTATCATTTCCAGTCATATAATCATCCTGAGACTTGTCAGAGCACTAATGGGGTCCTGACCTTCGGGTTTGGAAGAGATGCCATGTGGCAGGCCAGCGCTGCTAGCAAAAACTGCACTTTTTGGCTTTGTCGATTCAACTTATGATAAATTCCTAAATGGAAAAATAAACAGCAGTTTGAAGCATTGAAGCTGTTAAAATAATCTCGTTTTCTTGAAGTTCTTTTTTTTTTTTTTAATAGCGTAACACAATGAGACACCCTTTGATTTCATATCCTTGGAACTGCAAGGCGTTGTTTGATTCGCGGTCTAATCTTAATATAAAATCATGGGGATTTATTAAAAGTGAAATCACCTTTTCCCTGCCAGGCAGCTTGGCTCAAAGTACTCTGAGGTTTTATTTTCAGAGGAGTCAGACATGTTAACATTAAACACTTGTTTTTTTTCCTCATTAATTAGTCAGCAAGCTAATTAAAAAAGAAAAAAGGCTTCTAACAGATAAAAAGGGAAAGTAGAAAGCTTGTTGCAGTTTTTTTTAAATATATGTATATATTTTGACATCACAACAGGGATAACTTACAAAGACACTCATGATTGCAAATCATTGTGTTTCCCCATTTAATTTCATTTGATGAAACATGTCATGTTTCACTACATTTACACAGTCGGGATTTATAGCCGTGCTGTGATACGAAATCCACTGATAAAACAAGAGTGTAGCAACATTTTACAGAGTCTGTGAGTCTGCGTGCTTTGAGTTAAGTTCTAACCAGCGTGCTGACATGCTGATGCTGAGCAGATAGATTTACCAGCTTGGTATCGTATGCTAACTGTTGCTATTTAACAGGAAAAACAAAGTACAACTGAGAGCCTGGGAATGCGCGTAGAGTGTGCATTTGAGACATGACAGCCTCTTGGGGGTGTAGAAAAAAAGCTGGCTCACCAGACTTACTCATTTGAAGGTTATTCCAACAACGAGACATTCTCCTTATAAAGAAAACTACCAGTCAAATGGCTTCCACCGAGTCATATCGTGGATGGGACGAGCTATGATCCCGGCCGTACAGCAAATATTGCAAAAGTTGGGAGTTAAGAAGTGAAGTTTATCACAGCTCTCAATGCAGTGAGCTTAGGAGCTTCGTAACAGGGCATCACCTAAATATTACATTTATATTTGAACTTCATTTGACGGCTAAGTGATCAAAGTGAAGATAAAGCAGCAGCTTTGCTCCAGTGCAATCACAGAAGAAGAAGAAGCTTGTCCTACTGTGTGCTAAGCTTGTTAAAGCAATCATGTTTCATGTCATGTACTGTCAGCACTGACTCATTCCTGCGTCCAAGAGACTGAACAGGTTTCTGTGATGTCATTGCAGGGTGATTTGGGTGAGGACGGACCGAAAGGTGAACCGGGAGAGAAGGTATGTGAAATCCTCTGAGTTTTTGTTCTCTTTTGTTTATGTCTTGGACGCTGCACAGGGAACCAACAGAGAGGCTGTCGGTGGCCAGAAAACAGTAAAAAAAAGTTAACGTCAGCCTTCTGAGGAGAACTGTAATGTTCAGTAGAAACAGCTGGGGTCAAGGGTCATCAGTTGTACTGTAGTCAAGGCTGCACATAAGCAGTCATCCTGGCACTTGATGTGTCCTTTGTATTTAATGTGGACTTAATTGCTATGCTACGCTGATGCTACATTTTCTGGTTGGATGGTTTCTGCATTAATTTGGTACCATTTATCTTCAAGACAGCTTGTCAAGTTGAGATTCATATCCAACAAAAGGCAGAGCAAAGCTCTGCTGGGCAGATTGTTCAGAACTAAACTAATAGATTCATGTTTCTGTCCAAAAAGCTTTTGTTTTCGGGAAGAGTTTCTTTGCTTTGTATTAGCACACTGACATCATATCCAGAAACACATTATGCTTGCCATGCTGCCTTCGCTCTTATTATTTTCTTTAAGGAGCATTTATGAAAATAGGTCACAGCCTCATTTGTATTGGATGACCTCTGGGCAAAATTTGGACCTCTTTACTCTTCATAAGTTGTAAAACATTTCAGAAACAAATCAATTATGGATAGAAATGAGCTATTTTTTGGGGGGGGAAATGTTGATTTAGCTTCTCACACTAGTGGGGAACAATAAAGATTCTCCTTGGAGTTGCCAAAGAAACTGAAACGCAGTATCTGAGGGCAAAATGCTGTGATGTATTATACACCAGAGGTGCTTATACAGAGTTAGGTATAAAAACAAAATGTAACCGATAAACCGGCAGCAGACCAGAAGCCATGTACTGAAAATGTCACTGCCAATTTATTGCTGTTCGGTGCAGAAAAACTTTGATAACTTCTCATTTTATGGGCACTGTGGTTTTTAAAACTCGGCAGCCAAGAAAGGACACCATTGGAGGGAAACAGATGCAGGATGTCATCTGTGGAAAATGAGTGAACAAAAAGGAAAAGAGGAGGGTGATAAAACTTTGCAGCTTAAGCGCCGCTTTGATCTAGTTTACCTTGGTGCAATAAAAGGAGAGAAGATGATGGATTTTTGCTTCAGGAGTGAAGAAGAGTAAGATGAATCGGATAACCACGGGAATTCAGACTTCTGTAGACGATCACCTGCCATTCATTCGGGTGCACACTGATGCGTTTCACAGCGAAAGGCAGACTACAAATAATTATGATTTCTGCCATGTTTACGATGGATGTGGATTACCTCATCTCAGACTGTCAGCATCAGGACGTAAAAATGAGTGTTTTGTTTAACGTAGCGCACAACATATGGCGAGAGGAATTCGAACCAATAGACATCCAGATGAGTTTACCAGATGTCAGGCACACCGAGGGCTGATTGATTTTCAGTGCAAGTGAAGGGAACGTGTTGCCAAGCGGAGCCCCCTGTCATCAGAGTTTTGCATCTGATCACTTTCTCTTTTATGATCGTGTTGTTGCTTCACGGGAGGAAGATGAAACCAGAGAACAGAGGGACATGGGAGGGAAGGAGGGCATCTTTAGTCGTCCATGCTGAAGATGCCAAAGTTAACAATACACAGCACGCACTGCGGGGAAAGTGTGGTAATGTGAGGTGAAAGGTGAAGCAGCGAAAGCTTCGCTATGGTGAGCAGAGAGACCTCGGGGAGTGCAGAGAGAGGGGGGGAGAGAACTGGTGGTGTAAGCAGTCTGGCTGTGCTTTGCATGATACAAAGGGAGATTGTTTTGACTGTGGGGGACCTGTGAAGTGTGAAAGAGACTAAATGACAGGGCAGATATACTCTGACTGACATGCTCACTCGTTCTTAAGAGCAGGTTAAAAAGCTGACATGCTGAGGACTCCAACAGCTCCAAGTAGTCTTGAGTTTAGTTTCTTGTTTGTATAAGCTCATGTGCGGATAATGTAATTGAATTCCATAGAAATATACCTTGTTTTCCAGGTGTTTATTGAAAACATTGCTGTAAATAAATAATTTGCTACAACTAGCTGCTGACAACCCCCATGGAAAGGAGTATATTCACTAAAATGTTGGAGAGTAGTTGCTATAGGTTGCTGGGTGTAGAGCATCATCCAAAGCAATCGCTAGAAGGTCTTCAATACAGAACCACATATCTCTATGCAATCAATTTCATTTAGCGACTGGCAGCGACCAAGATCAACCACATGGGAGCTGACTGGGGAATGCATATTTTTCTCACCTAGAGTTGTCAGGGAGTGGCAACCCCAGATAATCCCTGACCGGTTGGCAAGTGGAGGTTTCTACGTGTGGCAGGATAAAAATCGGTTGCTGGAGGTGATCCACCAAAAATCTCCTTGCGGCTGCCTTGGTTGTTAGCAGATTGCTTCGGACACCCATTTCATAGTAGATACCAGTTTGCCTCCAATCAAACTGTAATCAAACTAGTAAAAATTGTAGTCAAACTTGTAATCAAGTTACCATAGCAGCTAAAATTTGCCCGAGTTATGAGCAATCACGACCATCATACGTGCAAACAAGGCAGTCGCAAGAAGGTTTTCATTACAGGACCGTTTACCTCTATGCAACCAATTTTTTCTAGTACTAAAAGCAACCTAGTGCAACCACATGGCAACTGGTTGGGGAATACACATTTTTCCCTAGCAACCGGAGGTTGTAAGGGGGTCACTAGCTTCTCTTTTGGCCTGCATGTGTGGGAGTTTAATTTAAATACCAGACAGTCATCAACTACTCAGCAGTTCTTCAGGGAATGCACACTTTTCTCTAGTGACCAGGAGTTACCAATCTCTGTGACTAGCCTCATATATACGAATTATAAAAAGTATATAATACTGCAAAATGCAATATGGGGGGAAACATGATCATACTAAAACATGCGTGATCATAAGTCATGAGCTTTTTTTTTTATTTATTTTTTATTCCTATTTATTCTATTTATCCCCTTTGTATATTTTATTTATATTTGTCTCTGTATTTATATATGTGTGTGTGTGTGTGTGTGTGTGTGTGTGTGTGTATATATATATATAACAGTTCTGTAACTGTAACTTCGGTCGTTGCTGTGCTTTTTTTGGAAGTCGAATTTCCCAGAGGAACCCACCCGAGGGATTAATAAAGTTCTATCTTATCTTATCTTATCTTATCTTAAATGTAGCAGGGGAAAAGTAGTAGGTAATAGGTATGTTAATTGTACATAAGAAAAGCATCTGTGTAATTATACTCACTTATGTTCACTCACTGTTTAGTATACATTTATATAACACATTACCTGCTCTGTTGCGTCCGTAAGCCATCATTACGCGTAGAGAGAAATGTTTCTAACAGCCCCTGCATGTCCATTTTTGGCCTCATTTAAAACAAATCATTACCACAGTTAAAAGCTTTAGTTCTAAACCATTTCCTTCTGATGCATTCAGCCTAAGTATTTAAGTAGGTGTGAAATTAACAGTGACTCTTCTTGCTGAAAAAGTTGGACCTCACAAATTGAAAAATTCTTTAAAGTTGTTTTCTTTTTTTAATACACAAAATCAAACTTTGGATTTTGTTTTGGGAAGTTCCAGGCTATGAGTGCTTGGCTCTGGCCAGTCTGGCACAGCGGTTGGTATAATTTTTGAATCCTAAGATCCGGTCCAAGCTGTTGTGAACTGGCAGCATTTCAAATACTGGCAAGGCCTCTCTGCCCTGGGAGCCAATCACAATTTGCATTGCCTCACATATATCTTAACTCAGGGACAGGGGGTAATATTTAGCCGGGGCCCGCTGAATTTGGTCATCACTGCTAATGGCTGTAATGTGGAGTAAGACTCATATTTTGATGACTGCGGTGGTATTAATTTGTCACAATTCAGCCATGCCTTCATTGCTCAGCGATTAATTCTGCGCTCATCTCATTCCCCAAGCAAACAGCTGGAAAATGGCATGATTTACTAGGCATACATTTTGCGCCCTTCATGCTATTATCTCTAAATGCCAACGGGCAGCGACAGGTCTGGGTGCCTGTAATGAAGTGGAGCTGCGGTGACGGCTCTCCATCTTAGTCTGCTCTGCGGCTAAATCGAACGCTGTAGCCTCACCGTGGTAATTGGCCCAGTTGGGACGTGTCAGCACTCTGCGCCACACCTCAGCACACCTCCCAGCTCCGCCGCTTTTTCCATCTCATACTCCTACATTTGGAAGAGATTAAACTCTCTCTTGGTCAGGGCTCTCGTTCGGCTTCTAGAGCTCGGTGTCACTTGTGTTAGATCGGTCACACCAGCGAGCTTCTTGCTTCAGCAGCCGAGGAATGAAGGCTCGATCGCTTTTGCAGCATCCTCCTTGTTTTCAGGGCTCTGCTTCACACGGCCAAACTTTACAATCTATTATGTAACGTTTTATTTCTCCGCAGTACGAGCGCATTACGATCCTGCTGTGATTAATTATGTGGAAACGGTTAATTATGCTTGCATATAGCCCACTGATCATGAGCGTCACAAGGTAATTTTGTTGTTGTTGTTTTTATTGCTAAAATTGTAACAGTTAAGTACAAACGTGGCACCTTTACCCCTGCCGAAAGCAGCAGGTGTGAAGACACAAGAAAGTCAGGAAAATGGGCCCCTGTCTCCTTCTTTAGTATATATATATATTTATATATGTTTTAAGATGAAATAAATCCATGTTGTCTCCTAAGTATTTGGCCAGAAATATTTCTATTTAATTGTGTAAAATGATTTAAAAGCTTTTTTTCTGTATTTTTTGTAGTGAACTGTAAAACTTCATCCATTTAGATCTTGTACCCCAATAAAATATAAAAGAACTTGTGAAAATGTCCATTTATATATATTAAAAAGTGGAATGATGAATTTTTAAGATTGGGATAGAAGCACCCCTGAGTATGCAGCGAAACCCAGCTGTAAACAGTAACGCAGTTTATTGTGTGCAAAAAAAAAGAGCCACAATTAAACATTGCCTTGTGTGCTATGCATCATAATGACTCCCATAAAAAGCTGAGGGCAAGAGGCATTCCTTCAGCAACTTCTGAGCGCGAGGCGTATGTGTAGTGAAACCACAGAGTCCACACCAGAGCTAAAGACCCAGCCTCCTCCTCCCCACTCCTTTTTCCCACCAACCACCCGTAATTAGGCTTATTGGCCCCTTGTTTTATGTCTGTTTTTACTGTACACTGCAGTAGTGATGCAGTGCATAGAAAAAAAGGGTCTGGGTTCTTGGTGTCTGGACAGCTTTGCTGGAAAAATGTGATATAAGTAGCTCTGTCTCCTTCTAGTTCCGTGCCATATCTAAGGAGAAGCAATGAACAAAGCTTTCAGTGGTTCCTGTTAGTGTGCCTCCTTAAACACCTTCACCTCCTATACTGCTGTGGATTTCTTCTTATTGTATATAGTGTTAGATTTCACCCTGCATGTCATCACCCCTGCCCAGCTGCAGGGTAAAACTGAAACGATTCCCAGCACCGTAGTCATAAAAATGCTGTCTCCAGCTTTTGTGAAAAGGTACATTCTCTGTTTAGAATAGCAAACAAGCTGCTCTTCAAATTGTGTTTTCACCCAGTTTTATCCAGTCAAATGCAGCAGTTGTGAAATTATGCTCCGCATTGTTCGGTAAATGGGTTTCTTTTCTATAAGTCAGCATTTTGTAAATGTAACTGCACAATAATGTTGACTCCTCACAGACAAGCCCATCGACTATTTTAACAGTCTCTGTCACTTTTTGTTTTGCCTTTTGTGTCTTTCTGACTTTTCTTCTGTGACTCTTTCTTAGGGAGATGCAGGCTCCTCTGCAGCAGGCATCAAGGTGAGAGCTAAGCTAAAGCCACTGTCATTTTGTCCTTGATTTAAGATTTTTAAATGGAAAAATGTAATTCATTAAGGTCCAAGTTGTGACTGTGTGTGCATCTACAGGTATTTTTTAAATAGGGTTGACTGTAGACAGCAGAAAAAGGACAGATGTTCCTTGGTTTGTTAACTATCCTTTGGAGCATTAACATCTGGCATTTTAGCCTTTACCAGCTTGGCTTTTTGGCTTCTGAACTCAATATATTAGCATAACTGGCTGGAGTGCTAGTTTATTAGCTAGTGTTAACTAAACTACGCTAAAAAAAGCAGTAAAGCATCAAGTGAGTTTAACTTGTTAGATACTGATCTGGTCCGTTAAGTAACAGAGGGGGTTGTTAATCAGTTTCAGCTGCTTTGGTGTTAATGACATTAACAACAGGTGCACTACAGGGGAACAACGAGACAACCCCCGAAACAGGAAACAGGTTTTACAGATAGAGGCCACTGACAGTTTTCTGACTGTTTTAGTTTTGCATTTTGTGTCTGTATCGCTGCTGGTAGCGTGAGGCGATACCTGGACCCTACAGACGTTACACAGATAGTCCAGTTCCTCCAGGATGGCACATTGTGATGTGCCACTGGCAGAAAGTTTGCTGTGTCTCCCAGCACCATATCAAGAGCATGGAGGAGATTCCAGGAGACAGGCAGTTAGTCTAGGAGAGCAGGATGGGGCTGTAAATGGTTCTTAACCCATTATCAGGATCAGTATCTCCTCCTTTGTACAAGGAGGAACAGGATTAGCACTATATAAGGACTGCCAGACCTACAAAATGACCTCCAGCAGACCACTGGTGTAAATGTCTCTGACCAAACAATCAGAAACAGCCTTCATGAGGCTGGCCTGAAGGCCCGACGTCCTCTTGTAGTGCCTGAAACGTTGTTCAGCATGACAGGTTTAGTGGTGGATCAGTGATGGTCTGAGGAAGCATATCAATGGAGAGGCATACAGAGCTCTGCAGGCTAGCCAACAATACTCTGGCCTTCATTAGGTATCCTAGGTATCATTAGGTATCAGGAAGAAATCCCTTGGTTCGATTTTCTGAACCAGTGCTGGTGCAGGTGGTCCCGGGTTCCTCCCAGTGCACAACAATGCCAGCCTCAAGTGGTGAGATTTCACAGGCAGTTCCTGGAAGATGAAGGACTTCACTGGCTCCCACACTCACCTCAGCTAAATCAAACAGAACATCTCTGGGACATTATGTTTGTTTCAATGAGAAAATTAGATTTTCTCAGATTGAAGAACTGACAGGAATGCAAAAGGCGAGAGAGAGACGGGGAAACTGCGGGTTGGCTGCTCTGAGCCAAAGGGCATGTGGGCACCCGCTCAACACAGTGAGCTAAACCACTGAGATTCTGTTAAATTTTTTAAGTATAGTTTACTTACCAGACGAATGCTAGCCTGTGCTACTTTCATTCATTTTAATTGGATTCAATAAGGAAAAAATGGACTTCCATTAGTAAAGCAATAACACAATAATGAGCTACAGTGTTACTCTATGAACAGGAATAGGTAAGTGTAGTCAACATGAAAGAAAATAAGATTCAGATAGCTATACGTACTTGGATCAGGGGTCTTTTTTGTTACCAATTGAAACTAACTACTAAGATTAAGAACTTATAAAGGACTTTCTGTTAATACATGCAGAACAGAAGTACAGATAGTTGGTGGTATTTTGAAATCGGTCACACCGGTTAAATAGAAAACTCTTTACATGTATTACAGGGTGAACCTGGAGAGCCTGGAAGAAGTGGACTAAAGGTAACGACTACACTTTGCTACACCTCATGGCTTTTTGATACACAGCATAAAGGAAGTAGTACATAATTGCATGCAACAGTCATAGTAGTATGGTTTTAAATATACCGACATATTTTACTCAAAATATAACTCGACCAGTGAATAGTTTTAGGAAACCTGAGTGTATATGAAAGTCTATTTATTTTTCATCATTGTGCCTGTACACATCGAAACTTTTGCAAATTAGAAAAGCTCAAATATGGACATGCTCATTCAAAACTCAGCCGAACGGTACTGTTTAAATGGCATTAAGAATGCAAGTTGACCTTCAGTACATCACAGCCCTTCACTTCACTTTAATTCAGCTTGATTGTTGTTTAGAGCCAGTGTAGGGTCTCCAGTTTCATACTAACGCCTCTGGATATACTAATCTTCTGGATTTTTCTCTTTTTTTGGCTCCTTGTTCTTGTTTCCATGTTTCTGCGTGCATTTCCCTTAGCTCCAACCACAAGGTCACCCTATTCTGCTGCTTCAGTTTTATTGTTCAAGCGATATTCGCCGCTACGACCTCTGTTCCCGGCCGTTGTTTGTTGTAGTGTTTGACATACTTTCCGAGGCAACAATGGCAGCCAGGAGAATGTTGCTGAAGAAACAGCTTTTGTTGAGAAACTAATAAACAGTCACGCCGAAGAGGAAAACTGAGCCATTGTCCGGCCTTTGACCAGACTTCTGCTGACATTGCACCAATGCCTCATGTAAATTACACTCTCAGTCTCTTTTATCTGTTTGGACAAACTAGTTCCAGGCGACAGAAAGGTTGTTTTTTTTAGCAAGTGCCTCTTATTTCCTGCTTTGCCGCCAAGTAAAATTGTGGCCTAACTAACTTTTAATGCTTAATCATATTGTTCGTTTTACATCCTGCTTGTGCTGACACACTTAAAAATTGGGTTTTTTTCACATAATAATGTCACAAGATTGAGTTGTTGTTTCCCATTTAACATCACCATTGGGTGGCACTCATTTATTCAGCTGTCAACAAGAAGGACTTAATTTTTTATAATGCTTTCATTAGCAGCAATCGCAGTTTACAGCCTCCTCTCTGATCCCCCGAGTGCCATTACGATTCATTATTCTTGAGCGGCGCTAATCATTTCTTTTCATATGCCATAAATCCAGTGGTCATAGTTTTCCCGTTAAGTCAGAAATTTTTATTTTGAAAGTCTCAAAGTATTCTCATCGGAGGATTGGGGGGGGGAGCCTGACCTCTTGAGTTTTCCACAGTCGAATCAAATGACTGCGTTCTCAGCTTGACAATCACCCGACCTTGATAATAGAAAAATACGCCAACTCTTCCTACGCTGCCAAACTCGGAGGACCTTGAAGCCGTGGCAGCTTTCGCAAACAGCTTTTGCAACTTTAACCCAAAGTATCAGACGATTTTTCCTTCCAGAAACCCCGAACACTTCACACCTGCCCAAACCAATAAAATCCTAAAAATGAAACTCAGTTGCACTTTTTGAAGGGTTGAGTTTTATAACAAGTACTAATCGCGCTGTCAAGCCACGGCTGCATGAGTTGGTCTGAAAGTGCATGTGCAAGTACCTTCTGCTGATGCTTACCACAAGCGAATGACGGTGAAAATACAATTTCTGGACAGCGGGCAGCTTTTCAGAACCACGACAGCTTGATAGACAGAGGAAAACACAAATAGAAAATAAAGCATAGAGCTTTTCAAACCCAAATGAGGCTTGACTCAGCTTAGCTTGGCTTGGCTGTAACATGTCACACTCTTCTTGTGTAGGGAGAGCCAGGACTTCCAGGGCTGCCTGGACTACCAGGGATAAAGGTAAATGCTTCGTGTTTTCATCCACCCTCCCATCAGTGTTGTCCCTGTCCGTCAGCTTCAGTCCATCTGTGGTAGAGTACACATCTGGCCTGCTGTCACGCCGTCGTGGACCGATCTCGCTTCTCCTGCTTTGTGGGGATTCGCGCTTCAGCTTAGCAGCGCGGTAGCTGCTGCGAAGCGAAAGTGAGGAGTTTAGGCGAAATGACAAAACCAAACAGTCTGAGCTTTTGATCTAAAGATGCCAGCGTTCAGCAGGAAAACTGTCTCATTAGGATTCGTGAATAACACGGAGGTCCATGAATTAATGATCGAATGCTGCTTAGCAGGCAGACATTTCAGTCGACTTCCTGACGGTGGCAATCAGGAGGCTCAATGTGTCAAAAGTGCTGCTCGTTAAAAAGAGGAAGTTTAACTTTTATTTGATTATTCCGGGTTTTTTAAAGCTACTGTTTTCCCCGTATCAAGAGCAGATGGCGAATCGAAAAGCACAAATGGCGCATGTTAAAGAAAATCAATGCACTTGTGGACCATTAAGCTTAAAATATAACTGTTGAATTTAAGGAATGCTCACACGGACATGGAGATGATGGTGCTTGTTATGCCTGTTTTGTTCTTTTCTTTTCATATGCTTGGAACGTGCTGGGCTTGTTAAAAAAAGGCCCTTTCATTTTACACTTTATATACTCCTGTTTTGACTTAAGAGGCCTGTATGCTTGATGGATTCTAACAATATTTTTTTGCTAACGTAGCACTCGGCCTTGCACTTTGTTCTGCTCTCTGCATTCTTTGCTGTTTATCCAATCAAAGTTTAAAGGTTTGAAAGCCAAATGTCCATTGCCTCTCTGAGGGCTTCCAGAGTGCCTAATGTTCTCTAGGTTGCAGATGGTGTAATAATACATTCCGGTTAAGTTATTTCTCAATCAAATGTTATGTAAATCAAACCCAGTGTCGCACTTCATGCTGGACCCTCGCTCCTCATACGTGAAAGTGTAAATGCAGGAAAATTGGAAGCGTCTCCGTGAGCGGCGCAGACCCTCTTAATCAGAACGCTTCTGCGTGCCCCGATGAGTTTCTAACAAGGTCAGTCGTAACGTCTATTAGGATTCATAAGAGGGAGAGACTCGTTAATATATGAGGAACCAGGGGATAAATTAACCAGCCACTGATAATGTGTGTCTGTGAGTGTGATTTATGCATGAGTGCGCGCTTGTGTGCGCGTGCAAGTGTGCAAGCTGTAAGTGCATGCCTGTCATTATAAATGTGTTTGCTCATGCATCTTGTGTGTGTGTGTTTAGTGCTCATTAGCAGCGCTACATGAGAGACGCCCAGTGGAAAAATTAATAATAGCTGCTCGTGGTTGTGTTTTTGTTTTTGTTTTTTTTTGCGCAGGGTGAGCCCGGGTTTCTCGGTCCCCAGGGTGAGCCTGGGCTTCCAGGACTCCCAGGAACTAAGGTGGGTGATTTCAGCTCGTCACTGTGATGTTGTTTATCACAGCGTGGGAGGTATTTTCTGCTCCGAGTGACACGCTGAATATTACGAGCTGGTAATGATGAGACGCAAACACTTTGACTGATGGTTATCACATCCTATCAGCCCGATCATCGGTGAAATCGCGAATTCCTTTGAGTTTCTGTTCTCATTACCCTTCATTATCGCTTTCCCCTCAAGGTGATTAAACCTCTGTTGCTTCAAAATGTCACTTGGAAGTGGTCAGAATGAGATAATCCTCTGCCGCTACCTTTGAGTCCTGACATTATCACACTGCGGAGCCAGCGGTGATAATCCAGACATGCAAGAGTTATTGCTCGTGCTCATGTCCTTTTGCATCGGGCTGTTTGCAGTGCGCAGATAACTGAGATATATTAGCGTTTCGCTGTCCTCTGGCATATTTCTGCTGCTTAATCAAATGTCAGGCAGAGAGAAGCTAAAAAATTGGCTTTGTAGAAAAACAATTTGGCTTAATGTTTATTCCATTTGAGACAATCAGCGTTTTACTTGCTTTTTTTGTTTTCAAGGCACACTACACATAATAACATATCAGTAATCGTTTATTATTAAATCCTTACTGAATCGATGCTGCTGGATAATAACTGCATCCCGCTCGGTTTTTAAATATAAGTATTAGACACTGTGAAGCTCGAGTTTTACCACGTCTCCCTCTATTGGCTGTTTTCAGTCAAATCAAAATTCAAAATTAAGAACGTGCATTTAAATCATCGACTTTAAGGAAAAGGGTTTCACTTCTTTGTTGTCGATTTCCTCGGCCCTGTCACATCTCATGTCTGCCTCGTGCTGACTCGGCATCAGTATTTACATTTCGCCGTTTGAATATGTTGAGTAAGCGAGCTCGTGAAAAGGCTGAGGAGTCATGCTGAATATGTATGACATGAGGGGAACCGAAGGCGCGCCTCATGTTCAGAAGATGCACCGCGGGCCTTGTGCTGACATTAAAGAGGGAACTCAGCTTTGATCAGCAGTTCTGCATGACACCTTGTTGCAGGAGAACAATAGTAACTCACCTCTTCTTCTCCTTCTCTTTGCATAGGGTGAGAAAGGTGACCACGGACCACCAGGGAAGGGGGAACGAGGAGAGACGGGACCCACTGGACCAAAGGTCAGCAAGTGAAGGGCATAAGTGTGCATTCATGCCTGTGCGTACGGTATGAATTATTAAAGAAATAAGTCGCTGAAGCGAGGAGTCTTTGGAGCTTTTCAGCTGTTGCTTTGCTGCCATCTAGAGCCTCTTTGATCCAAACACACACGGCAAAGTTCTCCAAGTCATAAATCAGATAAGGCGATGCTTAATCAAGACTTCATGTTCTCTTTTTGTTAAACCTGGCTAAAACATTATAGTCTGTGATAGGTCCGTGGCTTTCCCTGGAGTGCGTGCAAAGTAAACCCAGTGTAAATGAGGTTGCCTTTGTTTATGTCTGGTGCTGCCCCTGCAGGTAGCTTAATCTCCAGTCTAAACTTAGACGACACAGAGATCTGGTTCACATCCTATTACATGCCCCAGAAGTGAAACTCATCCTCTGTCAGCGACACAGTTCAAATAAACACGTTCTCCACTTCTTGGCGGTTGCAGCGTATTAAAACCTGGTTATTTTAGTGGAGCTCGAAGCGTAGCTCTCACAGGAGGAGTCAGAGAGGATGATAATGTTTCCTTCAGGAAATGTGTTTTTAGAAATGCGTAATTTTCTTTAAACCCATAAAAGTTTTTAAAAAGGGTTTGTTTTATATTCTTCAACTTTATGTGCATGTCTGAAGTACTACGCGTTAGTATCCTCTTCACCTGTGTGTTTTTTTTAAACGTGGCAGGGTTCACAAGGAGAGGCTGGTACACCTGGCCCTAAAGGGTCAAAGGTCAGTACAGCAGATTTGTTTTCTCTACACTGCATGGGAATTAGTTGATCCTGGGTAAAAGAACCAGCTAAATGTATTTTCCAGTGATCTTGGTTTGTTTTTTTTGTCCTGAGCTGGTAAAAATGTGAAAACACTAAGAACTTAATGATCCTTGTTAAGCGTGTTGTTTATAAAAACAATCAGATTTACAGGTTTTAATAAATGTTGGAGGAGTCTTTGAGTTGAATGCAACACACATCAGATTAAATTAACAACATTTAAACGAACTCACATAAATCGGTTGCACACACAAATTTAAACTCCACCAACACTTTAAACTCCTTCAGTGTAATAAGGGCGAAAAGCTGAACTTCAGATTTTAATTTATTCTCATTTATAATTAATTTATTCAAGCTTTTATCACAGCTTTTGAAGCTGTAAAGAACATAGATATTATTTCATCAAAGTTGTTCTTTCATTCTGTCAAATGCAAGCTGTAAATACTAAAAGGCCTCAGCATCTATAAAAATGTAAAGTGTGTGGCTGAAGGCGTGACGGCAGTGTGCCTTGAGTTCAATATTTGTTGTTTGTCTTTCATATTAGGGCGAGGGTGGAGATAAAGGAGACTTGGGGCTCATTGGACCAAGGGTAAGCAAGCATATTAAAGATAATTAAGGATGCTGTGTGCTGACACGCTAAACCTTTTAATTTCTAATACAAAACTTCAGTTCTAGGATGTGATTAGGATGAGCACATCAGAGTGACAGCTCAGTTTGAGTGTTGGTTTGTTATCACCACCAGGGGGCAGTAGTTAAGCCTAGGCAGATTTCTGAAAGGGAGGCACTCTATTGAGCTTGTAATTCTTTGATATGATATAATCATGTGTGAAATAAAAATGTGTTTAATGGTGTTGGACATGTGCAGGGCCCACCTGGGCAGAAAGGAGAACAAGGTGCCACCGAAATCATCGACTACAACGGAAACATTCAGGAAGCTTTACGGGTCGGTTCCTTAGACGTAAAAGACGAGGGGAAAGTGATTCCTTTTTATTTTTGATGCATGTACCTACCTATGAATGGTTCACCTTCCTCACTGCTTACTTGCCAGATTAAAAGTGGAGCTAAAGTAGGTGAAAGTGAATTATTTGCCTGCATAACATAATGACTAAAAAGGAAAAAATATAAACATGTATAGAAATGTAATCCAGTGCAATGCCTTCATTTGAAGCTGCTTAGGTTGAGCTCTATAGACGCTGAGGGTGTTCCTGTGCAGAAATGTGCTGACACAAAGGTTTCTTTTCATGTGACCTCTACAATCTTATCTCTCACCTCTTCCCCACTTCCACTCCTGTGGCCTACTGCAGAAGATTACCACTATTACAGTTACGGTAAATAGGCTCTGTGTATTCTGTGTATCGTTTCATCTCCAAAGTGTGATCCATCTATGTCCGAGCATGGGCCCGACCCGGTTCCAACACCCGTTAACGCTGCCCTGTTGTACTTGTCCTCCCTCACCCAGCAACGTTTTTGCTTGACAGTGAATAAAACTGTATTCAGTGCTGCGATTGTGCTTCTCTGTGATCGACCTTACATGCTGCCTGAGCTGCTGGTTGTGTCCTTGAATGTCTATTAAACAGCATTAAGAGGATTTTCCAAACTCATTCAGTCCGCTTCTTGTCAAAATCGCATCACGTATAGCAGTCAAGAATCCCAAAGGCTGTGGTTTGAGTCAGCAATAGTTTATTCCACCTTCCAACATGTCTACATCTAAAATAAGCATACGGATATGTAGCCTTTTTTTTCACTAAGAACTACAAACCCCAGAGCAGAAAAATGCAGATTTTCCATTTCACCCTAAATCAGTGTCAGAATGGCAGAATTTATGGTTCAGCTGTCGAAGTCATGCAGCCCTCACATCCTAACATCAAAGTGTGTAATTCTGTCATACATGTTCTCACTTTTGTGACCTCTGCATGTGTTGAGCGTCCTGTTCATGGTTAATACCTGATTCCTAACATAATTTTTCAGTGTTATGGCCAGTGCCAGTTTTAATTAAAACGTAATTCACAGCATTGTTTCGTAGGTTTCACTACAGCTGTGATGTATTCACACTTGTGCGCACGTGTTGAAGAGAAATCTGTCTCTCTTTCTGTCCAGGGTCCCCCTGGGCCTCCTGGGCCAACGGGACCACCAGGCATAAAGGTAAATTTCTTATGTGTGTGTGTATGTGTAGTTGTGTGTTTGATTATGATGTCAAGTGGTGATCTTTTACAAGTCACATTATGTAACTTGATAGCTAATTTAGTCTAATTTGTGGTCATAAAAATGTCATATCAGGGGGATCGCGGTCTGCCTGGTCTTCCTGGACTTGATGGAGAAAGAGTAAGTTGATCTTATACATGTGTATATATATTTACTTACATTGGTTAACCTTAACATGTGGAGTCGAGAGTAGATGACCTAAGTGTAGACAAACAAAGGCAAAACGGGGTCCTTAACAAAAATCGAGCCGTTTTTTATGTCTGGTAGAAAACTACAAAACAAAGGGAAAAAGCGAAACAAGACGAAGCTAAACAATAACCTAAACTGGGAAAGCTAAATGTGAAAAACCCCTAACATGAAACCTGGCCTGGATACATGGAAACATGGTGTGAAACACAGACAACCTGACAGTGAATGCATGACAACAGATCACATAAATACACATGAGGGTGACGAGGGAAGTGGAAACACAGCAGATACAAATGAACATGACGCCACAGAGGAAGCAAAAATAAACACATTAAACACGGAACACAAGACTTTCAAAATAAAACAGGAATCACAGAGACGCAGACTTAAGACACGTTAGGGAAATAGAAACGGGAGATGGGACACGGACATACTGAGAAACAAATACAGAGACGGTGACGGCTGGGGAGAACACATGACAGATGGGGAAGACATGGAACGAGACACAAGGGGAAACATGTAAACCAGAGAAGGAGATAAGACAGAGGGATAGAGAGGGAGCGACACAGAGGCAAAGATATCTCTGAGACACAAAGGGCGAGGGAGACTTAAGCACACACGACACTACAACCAACATAGTGGGGAAGACACAGAACTGGGAGTAACCTACACAGGGAAACAGAACTGAAAATCAACAGAAGCAACTGAACCGTATAAACAAGAAACAAGAAGAAGGATTACCTGCATATTTGTTGACCTCATTATTTGAAATGTCTAATATGACAATCTACCACAGACAGGACAGTGTCTGTTAGAGAATATCAGGAGAACAGACAGTTTTTTGTAGCCAGTACAAAATCCATTCTCAATTAATAGCTACAGTGAAAATAGAAATTAATCATTTTCATCTCTTTGGGTAACTTTCTACCCCCTCTTAGGGATACAAAGGCTCTAAAGGAGACATGGGAATGCCCGGAGCTTCAGGGGAGAAAGGAACAACTGGTTTACCTGGCTTACCTGTAAGAATACTCTCCCATTCTGATAAATGCCTCTGAAACTTTTACCTACTCAGCCTGTCATTCGGCAGACACAACGTGGATCTCATGAAACTTTTGTTCCTCTAGGGTGTCAATGGAATGAAAGGGGATAAAGGAGATGCAGGACTCCCAGGTCCTCAAGGTCCTTCTGTAAGTTAGAACAAAATATAGTAACAACAATATTTACAAAGAGAGTGCAGTGACAAGACTGATGTAAGAGGTGGACACTCAGATTTCTACAGCTGACCCAGTTCCATACGCATTTCTGGGAGTTCCTTTTCTCAAGGTGCAAAATATCAGGAAGAAAATAATCAAATAAAGTGTGCAACCTGATTTACTGATTTGCTGCTAAAAGCATGTCTTATATTTTGCACTTGATACTCAAATGAAATAATTGCACCTGTGTTTCGAAAATAGTTCCACTTTTGTAAATCACACACACCTTGTAGCTCTATTTTTGCTCTCACTCTGTTTTTTTTATCTGCCCTATATGTCACGCTTTTATTGTGAAATGTAAATAACATGTAATAAACTTGTTGACTCACACTTTTATTATATCATTTCTCTCCTAATGTTTTCAGATAATTGGCCCTCCAGGGCCACCAGGGCCCCATGGATCCTCAGGACCTATGGTCAGTGTGCTGCCCTGAAAACCCCCTTTTTCATTAGTGGACACAAACTACACGTGTATTAGACACACAGCATATGCTAATAACCCTAATGACATGTTACATGACAACTCATAACGAACGAAAAGACAACACCTCACACAGTGTCCAGCAGCAGGTTAAAAGTCTACAGGTTCCTTTTAAAAAAATCTCAATATCTTAAGAAGAAGTGGGTATTTGGAGCCACGCTAGCATTTCCTTCACCTTACATATATAGACTGTCAGTCACTAATTACATTTCCCATCTGTCTGCGGCCCAGTCCAGCTTAACTCCTCTTTAATCCCACAGTGGTGTTTGCTTGTATGAAGTCACCAAGGAACAAAGTAAAAATAAAACACAGGGAGCCCTCGTCAGTTTTTCGCTGTGAGCAATTTCACGGTGCTGCGCTTGTTCTTCTTTTCGTCCATCCCTTCAAAGCAGCTTTCACAACAATTTATGTGCAATGGTTCGGGCCACAAGCAGAACATAGAAAAGAAATGTGGGGATAGACAAATGAAATATATTCAAAATAATCGAACCAGGTACTTGTAAACTAAGTTAGCCACTTTTTAAATGTTTTTCAGGGTCCCCATGGCTTTCCTGGACCAAAGGTAAATATCAACAAAGTGAACATGCAATTCCTTCACGTGTACAATATTAAGCCAAAGTTAGGTCATCTTATAAGTAGTTATTATAAATATTTAGTGAGCCTGAAACGTAAAACAAAAGCATCTCCTGCTTCTCTTTCTTTCTCAGGGTGAACCTGGTTTGCATGGGGCAAAGGGTACTCGAGGAGAACCAGGACACAAAGGGGACCGTGGACCTCTGGGTCTCCCTGTAAGTGAAACCACACACCACAGGGTGTCTTCAGCCAGTCCTGCCCTTTATTTCTTTATTTCTTTACACCATAGAGATCCCTCATTTGTATTGTATTGTGCATTAGTACACACATTTGTATGTGTGTGTTTGTATATTTAAGTGTGCGTGCGTGCGCGCGTGTGGAAGTGCGTGCATCTATAATCCATTTTCTGTGCTCATTTTCATTTGCCTGGGCTGACTACTTTGCCGAGCGCCCTGTAACACACAGTGTAATTTAGTTGTTGTAAACCCTGCCATCAACCTGTCCTAATAACAGTGTTCATCTGGTACTAATCCCGCCTTGTTCATGTCACTCATACCTCCATAACCACACAGGGAGCCTCCGGCTTGGACGGCAAGCCTGGAATTAGGGTGAGTGCCATGTGACCAAGAGGCTTCAGCACCTAACTCGTACAGTATCTACTTCGACAGTATCCCCTCCATACAGTCCCCTCATTCTCCTATTTTTCTTTTTGTTCAGCCATGCCACCTCATACTGTTTATATCATTTTTACCAAAAAAGACAGTTTTGTTTCCATTTTTGTTTTCTTTTCGATTTTTATAGCTCAGAAAAAAAGACTGTCCGCACTCACTTCAGCTCAGAGGACTGAGACCATACGCAGCACTGTTAGAGCAGGCATTTCAAGGCTCTTGTTTTGTCCCGTGTTGCATTAACTGAGCATTAACACACACTCATACATTAACTGTGTCAGCAGCGTAAATGTCCTTTGTGGCCAATGCACGTCTTACACTTCTGTGTGCTGGTTGTAGGTCAAACAAGGAGTATTATATATATACATGTATAAATATATATGCGGAGGCTATATGTGGCTTTTGCTACCATTTGCATTAACCTTAATTATTCTGAAACACGTGCTTATTCTAACCCAAGGTTGTAAACTCACCATGATAACACTGTTTTCTGCAGGGCATGGATGGGCCTCCAGGTCCTGCTGGTCCAGCTGGGCCGAAGGGGGATATTGTAAGATCAACATTTCATTTCTTCTATCTTACTGATGATACTCTGCATTAACGGCCGACCGCTATATAGTGACCGATTATTGACCGACATTAGATGTTTGTCAATATAGCATCCGCTTTTTATAATGGCCAATAAATTAAAATTAATTATATAAATAAAGAAGAGATTATTCAGCAGCGAGAGTTGCTGTGGTATAGTTTGTCCACCAGAGGGCACTCTGCCATTCCCCTGTTAGCACAGTAGTGCTACATTAACCAACCGATCAGAGTCAAGCAGAGTGTAAATGAGTAATCCATGACTTCAAGAGGCAGGAAAACAAGATTATAAATTTTACTGTCATGTTATCATAGAAAGGACTCGTAAATAACTGCTTGTAAAAAGTATTCAGGAATCTATATTGTGTCTGAAAGGAAAAATATCGTCTCATTTATCAGATTATCAGAGTTGTAAATCACTAAATATCCATATTGGTGTTAAAAAATCTCATATATCGGTTGGTCCTAATTCATTTATCCTTTTACCTGCCATTGTAAGTACAACACTGATGTATTTAAACTAGGGTGAGAAAGGAGCACCAGGTGAGCCAGGGCCAAGAGGACCCTATGGACTACCTGTGAGTTTGAAATAGTTCAATGCCTACATTTACGTTGTATTTTTTGTTACAAAAAATAAAAAAAATGTATTGATACAGTGTGAAATACATATTTTTGATCATAATACGGCTCATGTCTCTATTTGCAGGGAGCTGCTGGAACACCAGGCTTGGATGTGAGTCTGTTTGACTTTCTTTTAGTTCTGTTTTTAACAAGAAAGTTTGAGGAAAAAAGAATTAGTGATGAAAACAGGAATCAAACCGCTTCTTCTGGTTGAGGAATACTTAGGAAAAAGCTTTAAAATATATATTTTAAATCTCAAAACAAGAAGAAAGTGTAACTCCACAGAATCTGATGCAGCATTGTTTAAAATGTCCATAATTCAGTTCCTGAATACGAGTTGTAAAGCACCAAATGATATACAGAAAGAAAGCCAACCCATACCTGAAAAATACTTTGTATAACAGAGGAACGCCTCATCAAATCTGCCTCATATGTTCCACATTTTGCAAATCTCCATATCACAAGTCGATAGCATGATATACCATAATAGCATCAGTCATTTCAGGCACTTTTTGTTCATTTGTGCTGCTTTTTGTGGATAATAAGTACTCCTCCTTGCCTGATGCTAATTATCTTATTAGTGAATGATAGAAAGATGGCTGATTGATCTTCTATAAGTTCTCATACACTGTGTGTTCAATTCAGTAAGCGTTGTTGTGCGTAAATTGGTCTGGCCCTTTAGAGATCTCATTTAGAAGTTAACTACATAAATATCATTTTTTGTTTTACACCCAGCTATTTCTTCTTCTTTTGGTCTTAAGTTTTAAAGCTTTCAGTTTTAAGTTTGATTGAAAATGTCTTGCTTTTAGCGTTGCAAGGGCAAGATAAGCCTCTTATGTCTATGCGTGTCAAAGGCGAGCACAGCTCATCACACGCCGACCTTGGTCGGGACCCCCGTGCGTCAGATTTTAATGTGGAGTTGTGCTTTTACAGGGGTTGCCAGGCTTAAGGGGAGAAAAAGGCGACGTTGGGGAAAGAGGAGAAAAGGTAGATGTAGATATACTGTAACGGCTCATTAATAACTACATAGAAGGCTGATGTCAATGGACAGTGACAGGATGCTTTAGAGCTATAATATCAATAATTGAAGTACTGACATTATTAAACCACAGTAGCTGACTACAGTACATTTTAATTTGCTAATTTCATTAGCCATTATTATCCTAATGAGCTTCCTTTACAGATACTGTGAACATGTTTTGCTTGGGCTCAGTCTTTTGTACAGCAGTTGTGCCTCCTCGACAGATGGACTCAAGAGCCAATTGGATAATAGCGTCCTATAACGGCAGTCCTCCATTGCTTAAAGTGTCATCCCCAGTCCTCTCAAACCAGCTTTTGTTCTCCACTTTTGAGTGACTTGCCATCTCATCAAATCCAGTGTCATTCTAAGTCATTTAAAGCTGATTTTGATGTATTAGCCCAAACAAGTCCATTGACAACAGGCTCTTAAAATTCATGCTTATTTATTTTCTGTTGTTTCCACGCATGGACATAAACTTGAAGCATTTCACCTTGAGTTGCTGAGCCTGTTGGTAATCCTTTCCCTGCTTGTGTTTACAGTAGTCTGTAGCTTTCAGTGTTACTTGTGTGTGTCTCTGCACCACTAACAGGCATGATTTGTTCAGTAGATGTCTTTAAGAAACTGTATCCTATATAAAGACGCTTTGCTGCTCCGTGGCGTGTTCTGTGAATCGTCGTGTTTACCGACAATTTCTAACGCACAACAGATTGTAGCGCTGCGCCTCTTTAGTGTATGATACACAATAATCAAGTACTTACACTTTTAATGAGTTATGGGTGGTAGCTATGAGTGCTAATAACTTGCATGAACTCAATTCAACATACGTTACCACTTCAAAGTTTGGGGTGACTTTAAATTCATATTTTATATGTATTTTTCATTATAAATCATTTATTATGTTTAATGGAATTTCTACACAGGCTCATTTTCAACCATTTCAAACAAATCTATCGTATTACCTGATGAGGGTTCATCTAACTGATAATGTTTGCATAGCTGAAAACTGTTGTGCTGATTAAAGCAACACATGCTGAAGAGCAATAAAGGCTGAAATAGGCTTCATACAATAATGTGTCACGAAGCTGCCCGTGAGACATCCGTTTCTCAAAATAGAGATTCTGATGTACTTCTCCTCCAAGTACAGCAGTTCACTGAGGCCTTCCCAACTCTTATTCTCTTATTGTTCATTTTCAGGTGTTCTGTGAAGGGAGAAGTACACATATGTTATGAAATCCATCACAGGAACACTTTAACTTCTCCATCTTCTTCCAGCTGCTGTCTTTAGTGGCCGCCACAGGCCTTCATCTTACCTTAAATGAAGCATTCTCGTTTGTCACGCTGACCCGCTGCATGACCTCCTTCACATTGACACTCTCTCCAAACCATACATGAAAGCAAGTCTCACTACCATTTTGTAAACCTTCCCTTTCAATAATCTCCACCCGCTCCACCCCGGCTGTATTATCTTCTTCACCTCTCTTGTGCATTGTCCATTGCTTTCGATGGTTGACCCCAAGTATTTAAACTCATTCACAGAAGAGATGTCACCTTGCATCTCCACTCTTACACCTGCTTATTTCTTACACCTACTCGTATTCTGTTTTGCTTTTACTAACTCTCATTCCTCTTCACTCCAGAGCATACTTCCACCACTACAGGCACTCTTTTACCTGCTCTCATTATAGATCACGCTCTCATCTGCAAACATCACATGAACCCTCTTTCAAAGGGCAGAAAAAGCTTTTTTTGAGGCTGTTTTTGCTCTTTGCATAACACAGTGGGAATGTGAACTGAAACACAGAAGAGATGTCTGTGACATATCTGACTGAAAATTAATTAACTATTCATTTATTATAAATTATTTCATTTATTTCTCATTAAATCTTAAATTAGATGGAAACAATGTGCTTTAAAACACCCACACATGCACAATTTTACTTTGAAAATCACCCCAAACCTTTAAGTGTTGCTGTACTTTCCCAAACCTGATATTTCTAACACAGTTGATTTGAGTATGTGAAAATATTCTGTTCTACAGGGATACAGTTTGGACTTTTTCAGTGTGTAGTAAAATTTTATTCTGTCTTTCTGGAGGACTTTTTCCCTGCTACACTTTCTCATCCTTTGTGCCCTTGACATCCCTTTGGCTATGAAGTGTTTTTTCCAATTTCTCCTACCCACCTCACTACCTCCCTTTTTATGTCTACTTCCTGCCCTAAGGAATGTTTTTAGAGTAGCCGGTATTGTTTGGTATCCCCTCCTTCCTAACACTGACCATGTGTCGTTCCTCTCTGTGGGCCATAGCCTCCCTTATTTAATCCCTCCTAATAGCAGTCCTTATTGTTGACAAATGCTTCTTAACTTGACCAAACCATTGTATCCACAGGGGGAGAAGGGAAAGAAGGGCAAAAGAGGGCCTAAGGGCGAGAAAGGAGAACAGGGTGCCCCAGGATTAGATGCACCCTGCCCATTGGTATGTCCCAACTGTGAGCGGTCGCTCCAAACAAGGAAGGAAGGAGCTCCCTTTGGCTGTGCTGAGAACCAGAATACCACCAAAATAACCTAAATATTAAAGCGTATTACTTTCCTAATAATTCAACTGTTCAAATGCAGAACAACAACAACATTGGGTTGGGTTCGCAAGCTCACAGGGCAGCTCCTCCCTCTCCCTCCCCTTGTGTCTGTCGCAGTGGACTGATGCAGGGGGTAAGGGTCGTCCACCTCTCTCTCAGTAACACTCCGAGGTCATTTTTACAAACAGGGTTTCCGGGGATTTAAGGGTGAAAAGGGGGAACCAGGGCAGCCAGGTCTGGATGGGCTGGATGCCCCATGCCAATTGGTACAGTATTTCTCTTCTTCCTAAACCTCCTACCCATGCATGCCGCTCACCTTCAGTCATTACCGAAGCAAAACCATGCATGAATCGAGAGCCTGACGAGCATGAGCACATCTTATTTTCATCACAGTTACATTTTTGTCATCATTTTTATCAATTGCTAGAAAAACAACATTCACGTGCACATACGTCACTAACATCCTGACCGCAAGCAGCCTTTTTCTTGTTTTAGGCACACCGTTAGAAACAAAATACACAAAGTAAATAAATCTGTCCCTCTAACTGAATCCTTCATTCCTCTGAATAAAACTGCAGAAAGCATTATGCTTACTCCCTACGTCCTTCTGATTCCTCGATGAACCACTTCCCTTTTAACCTGTTGCTAACACAGACTCCTTAACTGATGAGTTACCCGTGGATCCCTCCTTTACTGTGTTAACTCTCCAACCCCTCTCTGCTTTTGTACCAATTGGGCCAGACCGTGACAAGACGAGAAATCGTTTACTCTGCTACAAATTCAGACCTACTCAATTCAAGACCTATTCGTAGAAAAATTGTCTTTTTTCTCAAATATGTTTACAAAGCTTTTGTTTCTGAAACAATGTTGTATGTTGCATGGATATTTTAACACTATGGGTGGTAATTTAAGCACTTAAAAGTATACAAGGAGTTCATTTTAAGATGCCATAGTGCTGTGTGTGTATAGGAATGAACCAGATCGAGTAAGAAAGCATTGAAAATGTCACAAAAATCATCTTTTTACATTACATCTGCATTAATTTACTCAAACCAGCTGCATTCATTTTATTTATTTTTTTTATCACACTTGCTTGATTTTCTTTATAGTGTGCCCACATCATGTTCTAAAATACAGCAGCACATATAATAAGATAAATCCTGAAAGATTTTGCTGTGTATTACATGCATGATTGAATATACTCTCTTGAGGTTGCCGTTGCATGTAATAATTTAGAATATGTTATCATAATAGTCAGTGTTGCATTTAAAAAGAAAGCAAAGAAAAGCGCTGCACAGTTCATGATTCTATTCATTTTTCCAAGCACCAGGGAAGTGCAGTAGTGTCTGTAGTGTTTCTGACTTTGATAACTTGGTTGAAGTTGTGCAACTTGCATCACCGTCTCTAAACTAGTCACAGTTGTGTCAAATTCAGCAAAATGATTATACACCACCACAGTAGGTATTACAGTCATTTTTATATTCCCCCCATATTTAGAGGTTCAAAAGTAACTGGACAGCTGTTCGATGGAACTCTCGATCTGAGGTTTTAGAGTGATGCGGATGCAGGTGAAGGAAAACTATCAGAGAGAGCAAAAACTTTGGGAGGGCGTGAACACAGAATTATTTCAAACCACATCAAAAGCACTCTCAAGGAGGCAGATAGATGTGAAAATCTACAACAAAGAGACGCTTTCATTCGTGTAAATACAGAGGGTTGCAATGCAGATTAGACTCTGACAGAAAACATCATAAATAGCCAGCACAGTCCTGCAGAAAGTCTTTAGATGGATGAAACAAAGATGAACATGTACCAGAATGATTGGGAGAGAAAAGTAAAGAAACAGCTCCTGATCTGAACTATACCACGTTCACTGTCAAACACGGTGGAGGTGGCATCGTCATGTACGGCTACCAGTGGAACGGGTCACTAGTGCAGAGTGATGATGTGGCTGAGGATAGTATCTGGATGAATTCTGAGGTATACTTGGCCATACTCTCAGCTCAGATTCAGCCAAATACTGCAGCCTTACTGATGACGATGCAAATAGATGATGACCCAAAGTATATTATTCATCCTTTTTCAGAAATGGAAATGCAGCATGTGGTTCTGTCCACAGGTTCTAGACTTCAGGCTAGACTTGGATTAAAATTATGTTATTTTGTCCAGTAACTTTAGAGCCTCTGAAAATGGGGGGCTGTTGAATTAAAGCTGAAGTTTTGCTCTTCAGTCGCATATTGGCTATTTCATTTGATTTAAAACCGACTGTAGTGGTGCACAGAGGCAAAACTACACCATCCAGAAACTCATGGACCTAATAGTATATATACACAGCACTTAGCTGCATGCAGGTTGCACATCCTTAGGGTGGAAAGAGAGAACAAGTGTAATTACGTGGATGACTTGATGAAGTAGGAGAATGTTATTGTGTCACACTTTTAGATTTGTGCTCATTAACTGGATGTTCCAAAACATCTGGATACCATTTGTAATCTTTACCTCTGGCATATAGGCCACTTATTTATAACCTTTTGTCATTTATTGGCGGATACATGATCACATCTCAGCGAACCTGTCCGTGCTATTTCAGATCTCATTGTTTTATTTCTGCTGCTCTTCTTTAAACAGGGCCCTGATGGTTTACCAATGCCTGGGTGCTGGCAGAAGGTAAGACGAGAACATAACTGAGTAAAATTTTATTATAAACACTGAAATTGTAATTATTATTTTTATTGATTTATCTATTAGTGCGAAATCTGTTCCCAGTATGATACTAATATTTTGCTCACCCAGTGTGAGTTTGTATTTATTTCATGTGGGTTTCAGCTTCTGTGTTTGCATGTTATGTTTCATTTATTGTGACTCGTTAGTCGTAGCAGTGTATTGCATCTGTGTGAAAACCACAGCGTACGACTCATGAACCGATGTGAAAACACCCATCCTCACGTCGCTCTCTGTTGTTGTGCTTTCCTTGCAGTGATCACTCTAACCTGAAACGCATGGAGTTTGTAAATAATGCTTCTTTTACGGTATTTATAGTTTTTTAATGGGAAAACAAGTCTAAAAGAAAAGAAGTCTGTGTGTACAATGCTACAAAAAGAGATAACTGTCCTCCCCCCCAACCCCACTGTCCGACCCCGCTGCAAGTTTCATGCTCTTTGCTGCTTCTACTCACATCGCCGTGTGGAAAAAACAACAAAAAAAACAAAAACAAAAACCACGCGCGTCCGCTCTTTCACATCCACGCCGTGGTGGAGCTCAGATCCTCGGCTGGTGGCAGAACTTGTCTCTTTAGTCTTTGCATGGCTCAGACTGGAGCGTCGCAGCCCGGCCAGATTCACGGGGGGTGGTGAAAGGAGGCGTGGGAGGAGGAGGAAGTGGATGAGGTGGGATCTGGACTGGCTCCCTAACACCAAAACGCTAGGTGTTTCTGTGTTGCTTCGTCTCAACAACCTCACCACACTTTCATGCAGCACCATTCACTCAAAGACTAAAAGAAAGAAAAAAAGGACTGTGCCAAGCAGAACATTGCACCCCTGCCCTCCCCACTCCTGAAAAAGCATGAGTAGTGTACTGAAACTATATTTATATGTATTGTACATACATGTCACTGTTTTGTGGTTGCGTCATGGCTTCTGCAGAAAAAACAACACTAACAAAAAAAAAGAAAAGCCTCTAGAGTTCTGAATAAGTAATTTTTTTTTTGCTTTCCTTTAATCTTCCCAAGGGAGTCACGCCATGGCTGGTAGCCTGAATGTCCCCCCAGAAAGTAAAGCTGTTGGTTATTGTTGCTTTATTGTGGTGATGCCTGCAGAGGGTACCGTATCAGCAGGTTTATCACTGTTGCACTCGCGAGGCTCGCTCGGCGTCAGTGCGGTGCCTCCAAACAGGTCTCCGGACAAGAGGGGAGGGGTATGGGGTGGGTGGGTATTGGGGGGAGGTAAACTTGGCAAGCTCGCTGCACTGACAGGGAAATGAATCAGCCTCACACGGATTTGAGTTTGGACGGGCGTGCTCGGGAACCGTCTCCCAGCGCGGGAACGGACTCTGCAGGAGAGCCTCCAGAAGTCTCGCGGATCTTACGCCAAGATCAGCAGGAGCGTCTCCCTCTCCTGGCGGGCAAACGCGTGGTTTACCGAGAGCGTTGACAGAACACGATTGATCATGTTTGTTTCTTTACTATTTTTATCTCTTTCGTTTGTTGGTTTTTCACTGCCCCTCTCTCATTTTTACACATTGTTTGTATTTTATGTATAATAGCCTTTGGTGCCTCAAGCTTTTATTCATTCCTTTATCAGAAATGTACAACTTTGTATCACATTTTGAATAATTACGATGAAGTTTGTTTTCTATTTTCTTTTGTTTTTTTGTTTTCCAGAAGGGAAAGCGTTGTAAGCTGTGGGAGGATTGAAAAGCCGCACTGTTTTTCATGTATATGTTTTTACAGGATGTTGAAACCGCATGTAGCTTCGAGCTTCACCTGAGCATACATTGAGATTGCATTCATCTTAGTTGTACAGCCACTGATCGGACTCACGGTTTTAAAGAAGCTCAATATTTGTACAAAGCACATCCGAGCATCGTCTGCAGATATGCTACTTTCTCATTTTGGACTTGTACGGGATATTATTTGTACAGTGTTGTCAGTTTGCTGCATGTTCACAGTTTATTACATACGGATTTCTTAAATACTGAAAACAGGCATCAGTTTGAGGAAGTGCAGAGCTTTGTTTAGTGGTCTTCAGTGAGATTTAGCCGAACACACACAGTATTTCAGATGAAGGCAGATTGTGTTGAATCTAGCCCGCCACACTGCTCTCTTCCACCTCACATTGTCTTAAATATGTTGAAAAAGTGTTACAATGCAAGAAAAGCTCAATTTGGCATTTACCGCAAACTGGTCTCCTTCCATTAGTTCACCGCAGTCTAACTGGTGGCCGGTTAACATCACATTCCTCATCAGATGGAGCAAATCAAAAAAAGTGAATTGAGCAGTAGGTTTATTTTTCACCATAGCTTATACATCCTTTCACGTTCCCTATCTTTATCTTGCCTTTTGACATAGTAGGTGCTGTGTAGGGTTTTCTTCAACATTAGAATCGTTTGCTGTCAGAGCCGATGTGAAACAAAGTAAAACAAACCTGTTGTGATGCAGCAGCAGCCGCCAGTGGATCCAAAAGGATTTCCACCCACGTGGTTTCTGTGTGACGTACAGCTCATCTCACCATTTTAAAAGAATGGATGCACATCAGTGTAGGTTCTTACGGTGCTACCTGATAAGCAGGTCAACAGCAGTTGATGCGCTCTAACAGTGGCGAGAACTACACGAGCAGTTTCTTTATTGTTGTTGGAGTTTTATGTGTGTAACAATTTCAAGGGTTTTTTTGTGCATATATTTGTGTATTTTTGTCTCAGTATTTTAAGTGGTACATTATTTATTTTTCTATGATTTCTTAAATGAAGGCATTTTGGTTCTGAACAGCATTCCTTTCGGTTCTGACGTGGGTTTCCGCCGTTCATACGAAGAGTTTCGGGTCACGCTGAGGCATCGCGAAGCTGCGAAGGAGCTCTGTAGTGGGGCGTCACAGATCGGTGTGTAGTCACTGTGCATTTACTTCAACTTATAGGCCTTACCATGACATACATCCGCTTTTATTAATTTTGTGTGTCAGAAAAAGCTAGTACTGAAGGCCTGAATGTTGACGGGCACAGCCAATGCAACAGTACACAGCTGAACATGACCGCCTTTTTTCTCTCTCACGCTTTCTCTTTGCATTGAATGTAGTTTGATATATGTATAGTGGATTATTAATGTACTGTGTGTGCTCATTTGGCATAAAGTGCAATTTATACTTTAGTTAATGTGTGTAACGTCAAATGCAGCTGAATTATCGCATTAAAGTGATTTCTGTAGCTACATTTGTTCGGTCATGCTACCCTTTATACCACTACCTGGGGACATTTTTAAAAAAAACAACTTTATTCACCAGAAGACAATGAAACATATGTAAACACAGACCCTCAAATTAGATCATATTTTTTTGCTTAAAGTTGCCCCTTCACTTATGTTTTTAAAGTGTTACTTCCACTGTGTCGTATTTACTATGTTTTTATTCTGTGTTTTAATTTCCAACCTTTGTTACAGTATTTGTTCTCACAAGGTGCTGTATTCTTAGCATGTGCAGCTAATTTTTTTAAATAGACTTTTTTATTTGATTGATTTTGTTTGAGTTTTGTGTTTATTTGTTGAAGTTAAAGGGTTTTTTCCCCTGCTATCAGCAGAAGTGCCAAACAGTTTGTTCCCGTATGGGTGTTCAGAGACCTGGCGAGAAGCTCCTTAATGAGTCAGCATCAAATTTTAAGAATCTGTATTCTTGTGTTGTCGCAGAAATGCCTCTTGTCAGTCATTGCAACATGAGTGAGTAGGAGGAGGAGAGTGGGGGAGCAGCCACAGTGCTCTTCCTCCTTGATGTTGTGAAAGACGCTGGTTTCTCATGAGGGTGTGTTGATGCTCCAATGCACAGCAGCCTTGCTGACGTAATTCTGTTGCCACATAAATGCAGACTGTAGCAAAAATTTTAAGAAAACTTCATTCTGTGACTTATTGGAGTTACGATTATAATTTTGGGGGGGTTGTGGTAAATGTTCAGTTTCTGCTCTGCATTGGTATTTCTTGTGTTTTTTTTGCCCACTTGGTTGACATTTCTTTGAAGAGCCTTGTGTTCATTCACTATATTTCAAGTTGACATTACATATGACTGTACTGTTGGAGCCAAATAAACACAGTCTTTCAAATACACTAAATGGTGGACTTTCCCTTTATTTGTTGTTTCCAGATACCTGTTAAACATTTTCATCCTTTTTTTTCTTTACTGGTTGACCAGTTCAGGGTTGCAGGGGGCTGTAGGTTATCCCATATATATCCACATATGTCTTGTACTATGTATATAGTCATATAGTACAAGACATGGTGTAGATCCCAGACATGTTGCCAGTCTATCACATGATTAATACAGAGTGACAGTCATTCACAGTCAAATTTACATCCACGGCCACTTTAGAATCACCTATTAACCTAACATGCATGTCTATGTCAGTAGCTATTCTACCTTCGCTAACAACGACAAACTACAAGATATATTAAGTAGACATGGTCAAGATTCAAATGAAAAGGGAAGAAAGGTGTTTTTTAAGTGGCATGGTTGTTGGTACGAGAAAGGCTGTCTAGGTATTTGAGAGACTGCTGATCTTCTGGGATTTCCCACACAACCATCACTAGGGTTTACAGAAAATGGTCTAAATATCAGTGGTGGAAGTTCTCTGGGTGAAAATGACTTGTTGATGCCAGACGTCAGAGGAGAACAACAGGCAACAGTAACTCAAATAATCTGGTTACAACTGATGTTTGCAGAAGAGCATCTCTGAATGCACAACCACTCAAATCTTGAAGCAGATGGGGCGCAGCAGCAGAAGACCACATCTTGTGTAAGTCCTTTTAGCTACAAAAAGGAAACTGAGGCTACAATTCATACAAGCTCACCAATATTGAACAACAGAATACTGGAAAAACATCACTTGGTCAGATGAGTCTTGATTTCTTTGATGACATTGGGATAGTTGGGCCAGAATTTGGTGTAAACAACATGAACCATGGATCCACATAGAGCAACTGCATAAAAGTTTAATTGAAGTGGATGAACATTAAGGTTACATGCGTGGTCATTTTGCAGTCTTGTTCCAAGCAAATAAACAATTTACTGGTGTCCTACCTGAATGTTACAAACAAGCTGAACAGTGCTGACTGCTATATTGTGCATGTCCGAATTTACAACATTATCATTTAGTTCCCTCAGTAAGTTTATACAGGTACACATGCACAACATGTTTTTAAGCAGTGATTTATTCAATGATTCAATTGTTTAAATAAATTAAACATTTGACTCATTCTCATACTGAAACTGAAACATCTACAGGGAGTGCAGAATTATTAGGCAAATGAGTATTTTGTCCACATCATCCTCTTCATGCATGTTGTCTTACTCCAAGCTGTATAGGCTCGAAAGCCTACTACCAATTAAGCATATTAGGTGATGTGCATCTCTGTAATGAGAAGGGGTGTGGTCTAATGACATCAACACCCTATATCAGGTGTGCATAATTATTAGGCAACGTCCTTTCCTTTGGCAAAATGGGTCAAAAGAAGGACTTGACAGGCTCAGAAAAGTCAAAAATAGTGAGATATCTTGCAGAGGGATGCAGCAGTCTCAAAATTGCAAAGCTTCTGAAGCGTGATCATCGACCAATCAAGCGTTTCATTCAAAATAGTCAACAGGGTCACAAGAAGCGTGTGGAAAAACCAAGGCGCAAAATAACTGCCCATGAACTGAGAAAAGTCAAGCGTGCAGCTGCCAAGATGCCACTTGCCACCAGTTTGGCCATATTTCAGAGCTGCAACATCACTGGAGTGCCCAAAAGCACAAGGTGTGCAATACTCAGAGACATGGCCAAGGTAAGAAAGGCTGAAAGACGACCACCACTGAACAAGACACACAAGCTGAAACGTCAAGACTGGGCCAAGAAATATCTCAAGACTGCTTTTTCTAAGGTTTTATGGACTGATGAAATGAGAGTGAGTCTTGATGGGCCAGATGGATGGGCCTGTGGCTGGATTGGTAAAGGGCAGAGAGCTCCAGTCCGACTCAGACGCCAGCAAGGTGGAGGTGGAGTACTGGTTTGGGCTGGTATCATCAAAGATGAGCTTGTGGGGCCTTTTCGGGTTGAGGATGGAGTCAAGCTCAACTCCCAGTCCTACTGTCAGTTTCTGGAAGACACCTTCTTCAAGCAGTGGTACAGGAAGAAGTCTGCATCCTTCAAGAAAAACATGATTTTCATGCAGGACAATGCTCCATCACACGTGTCCAAGTACTCCACAGCGTGGCTGGCAAGAAAGGGTATAAAAGAAGAAAAACTAATGACATGGCCACCTTGTTCACCTGATCTGAACCCCATTGAGAACCTGTGGTCCATCATCAAATGTGAGATTTACAAGGAGGGAAAACAGTACACCTCTCTGAACAGTGTCTGGGAGGCTGTGGTTGCTGCTGCACGCAATGTTGATGGTGAACAGATCAAAACACTGACAGAATCCATGGATGGCAGGCTTTTGAGTGTCCTTGCAAAGAAAGGTGGCTATATTGGTCGCTGATTTGTTTTTGTTTTGTTTTTGAATGTCAGAAATGTATATTTGTGAATGTGGAGATGTTATATTGGTTTCACTGGTAAAAATCAATAATTGAAATGGGTATATATTTGTTTTTTGTTAAGTTGCCTAATAATTATGCACAGTAATAGTCACCTGCACACACAGATATCCCCCTAAAATAGCTAAAACTAAAAACAAGGTAAAAACTACTTCCAAAAACATTCATCTTTGATATTAATGAGTTTTTTGGGTTCATTGAGAACATGGTTGTTGTTCAATAATAACATTATTCCTCAAAAATACAACTTGCCTAATAATTCTGCACTCCCTGTATACCTGACACCTTACCTCTAGTGCATTTAAAAAAATTAGTTTGTCTATATTATTTTATGTATGCACATTCAGAATTGTCCATGAGTATATTTTTATCCATGTATTTGAAGGTATTATTTCTCAATTCAAAAGAAGTAAAAACAGGTGTGTTGTTTTCATCCTGGTCTTTGCAGAAACGGCTCAGCCTGAGGCTTTCAAGACGGTATGTTGTTTACAGATTGTGTGTGTGTGTGTGTTTGTTTGTTTTTTTTAATGCTTGAAACTTTTACCCGTGAAAGTGTAGGCTAGCTTGCGAAGTTTGAGCATTTTTGACCACTTTCAGTTTCCATACAGCTCTGCAGCGCGAGCGCCGCGCCAGCTGCGGTACAGTAGTGCACTTGCGCGCGTATAAAGCGGGGCTCTGTCGGCTCGAGCAGATGTTCGTCGAGCTTCGTCCAGCTGGACTACATCAAGATGTCCGCTGAGAGATTTGAGAAAAAGGAGACTATAGACCTGAGGAAAAAATATATTGGGTGAGATAATTGCTCTCATTTGACAAAAGCAGGATTCCAAATTAATGTGGCAGTGGTCAAAAAGTGTAAGATACTAGAAAAACAATTAAAAAGTTTAATTTCGAGAATATCTGTGACATTTTAGCTATTGTATATATTTGTGGGTGTTTAAATGTATCCTACTATTTGACTTTTAATATGTATATTACATACATTAATATAATACAATATACAATAACTGGAATGAGTAGTAGTTCCTTTGTGTGTCTCTTAGGAATTTCACTGTTGTGTCCATGACTCATAATCTTTTTATCACAACATGAAAACCTACAGCTGCCCCAGCACGCTCCTACACATGTCACTATTCTGTTTTTTCTCTGCTGCAGGCCATCTTGTAAGATTTTTTTCAGCCATGACCCAATCAAGATTGTGGGAGCCAAAGGCCAGTATATGTATGATGAGAAAGGACAGCACTACCTGGACTGCATCAACAATGTGGCTCATGGTAAACACACATGCACTAGTGTATATACACAAAGTACACTGAAAGAAAGCAGCCAGCGCTGAAGTACCACTTTTTATCCCTGTGATGGTGTCACACCACAACAGCAAAACAAGAAGTTTATTATTACATATAGACCTATAACCAGGAACTCTAATTCAATCTTCCTTTTCTCAGTGGGCCACTGTCATCCTGATGTGGTGAAGGCAGGAGCTCAGCAAATGGAACTACTCAACACTAACTCGCGCTTCCTGCACGACAACCTTGTCCTGTACGCCCAGAGGCTGCAGGCCACGCTGCCTGACAAGCTGGCTGTTTGCTACTTTGTCAACTCCGGGTATGTTTACATGTTTTCACTAAACAACAAAAGGCAGCATGATGGAAGATAAGCCAGGTGTGTTTTTTTACTTGGGTGTGGATCACTGTGGGGAGGATAGAGGAGGCAGATGATGGGAGACCTAAATTTACTTTGATGATTATGCCTGGTGTGAACATGAGCCATAAAAGTCCTGCTGTGTCCTCAAATTACAGAGAAGCTCAAAACCCTGTAAAAAAGACTGCAGTGCAATCATACAGTCCTGTCAGCATTCAAGGAATATAGAAGCCTGTATGAGTGGAGGAATACCCCAAATGCTGAGGATCAGATTGCACGGTTTCATAACCTGTTGTTTGTCTAGATTTCTGATGTGTACGCTACATTAAGCAGACTATTGTTAGTCTGCTTAACAGCTGACTGAAAGTCGAGAAAATAAAAAGGTTCCGGGTGCCCTATTTACACCCTTTGCCCCAGTTCAGGAGAAGAATTATCTGCTCCGGGGCAATAACATTGTAGATAGTAATCCATATACCCTCAGACAGTATTTATCGCTACGATGGGGATATAAATGCTTCGAGAAAGCTTACCTGATATAAATCTGGCATAACACAGGCATTATTAAGGTGTGTGCAGTAGTACAAAAGTACACCTGTGTCCACTGAAGACATTTCTGAATTTATGGTTTGTCTTCCTTAGTTTAGGAGTGGAGAGCTCTTTAACCCTCTCAAGGCAGGCGTTGCAGATTTGCAACAGTTAAAAACTAACTTGATTACCCCACATACATATTTTATGATTTTTTTTTACTCAGAAGTACCACTGCAGGACTTGGTTGTGCATTAGCAACAAAAAGTTTAATAAAACCAGAGGCACCAAGCCTTTAAAATAACAGACAAATGGGGCAAAGACCCTTGAATTAGTAAAAATGTCTTCATGTGATTTCATAGAGAGGTAAAGAAGCCCCACTAAGTTTTTACAATTAGCCTTGCATGGCCTCACGGTGGGAACTGAAACAGCAAACTCCCTCTGACGTTCAAGTGATATCAGTGGTTTCACCTGTGTATTTTGTGGTGACTGAGTAACTCAAAGTAACCCTTGCCTGTTTGAACTTCAGCTCCGAAGCCAACGACCTGGCTCTCCGACTAGCACGGCAATACACAGGCCACAAAGATATCATCACTTTGGAAAAGTAAGTGCTGCCGTCAACCAGTCATTCTACAGAAAAAAACCTGGCGAATGAAAACAACAGTGATAATGAGCTGGTAAAAGTCTTACTAGTTAGTGGTTTGTAGCGCCGTGTGGCGAAAGGAGCTGGGTCTTCATGTGTCAGTGTTTTAATAGAATTTACTGCTTTGGCCCACAGTTTTCTTTGTTTGCAGTGCGTACCATGGCCACGTCTCATCGCTCATTGACATCAGTCCATATAAGTTCCACCAGCTGTCAGATACTGAGCAGAATCAATTTGTCCATGTGGTGAGTGCTTTTTCTCTCCCCGGCTGCCTGCGTGCACACTATTAAAACACCATAACTCAACTTGCTCCGCTGGGCTTTGGCAGCCTACTGAGTGTGCACCATGCATGCGTGTGCATATGTGTAGATAAAAGAGACACAGAATGAGACAGAGAAATAGAATGAAAGGGGTCTTTTTCTGCAGATTCAACAGGGTGTAATGTAAGTGGCTCTGAAAGAGAGCAGCTTGCTGTCAGAGGCATATGTTGAGGAACACAGACAGTGAGAAGAATGGCAAACAAAAAAAGGAGATTATTAACCAAAAATCCTACAATGGTACTCAGGAGAAAGATTAAAATCCCCACAAAGAGGTAATTTTATCTCCAGACTGTTAGATTATTGTGGTCTTTTCCTTTTTTGAGGGTCTTTTGGAGTTTCTGTTTGGAAAATTAAAGCTCAAAAATGGGTTTTTTTTTTACTTTTACAACAAGACATCCAGTGCACTGTGACCTAAAATCGTGAAATAATTTACAGTTTCTGAAACTAGAATTTGTTTCAAGATTTTCGGTTAAAAAAAATAAATACATTAAACATAGTAAATAATACAAAATTATGTCTTTTTCATCATTTAATGAGAACTTTAGGGATAAATTACACCTAAAGTACCACAATGAATTTAAGGGCTGTACTGTGTGCTGCTGTGGTGCATTCTGGGAATTGTGGAATGGGGTTTCCCTCATATTTCAGCTAAAACTCCAGATGAAAAAGAAGGAAAGGAACAAATCGCTTGGTTTAGTAGGAAATGAGTTCTCCAGCGATCTGAATAACACTGATCTCCATGTGCAGCTGACAGAGGCAATGTATAAAATGCAACACAGAAAAATAAAATAAAAATAAATTCATATATAGATATAGACAGTATTCCTTCACTCACATAAAGAGCTGCTTATCCACTTTTATCTAAACTTTTTTTAATATAATACGTAATTCAGCCACATGTTAGGTTTACTTAAAACCCATTAAGAATCCAGTTGGATTTGTGAATACCTTTGTAATATTTAACCATTTCTTGTCTCCTGCAGGCTTCCAGTCCAGATGTGTACAGAGGGAAACACAGAGCAGACCACCCTGATCCTGCCTCCGCGTATGCAGATGAAGTCAAAGATATAATAAACAAAGCTCACAAGAAAGGAGGCAAGGTACAGTTAATGAGAAGAAGCTAGCAATCCCAGGAAAAGCGTGAAAGCTGTGCATTGTTATAGAGCCAGTATTCAAATGCTATAGTGTGATTACAGGACCATGACACTAAGCAAGGACACAGCAGATGACTAAGAATGATTCTCAGCAGACTGTTAAGAGTTGTTCATTTTTGTCCACATGGACCTGTAACTACCTCCTCTCTCTTGTTTTGAACAGCCATCTGTAAAGGGAAGAGCTCAGGGTCAAAGATGACAGGATGCCTCCACTTGTTTTCTGTTTATCCGTCTGGCTTTATCTGGATATGTTTGTTCTCTTGTGCAGATTGCTGCTTTTATAGCTGAGTCACTGCAGAGCTGTGGTGGGCAGGTCATTCCCCCTGTGGGTTACTTCCAGCAAGTGGCACAGTATGTACCCAAGAAATCACACTCCTGACAACCTGAGTCTACCCCTGCCCACGCTGATTACTCTGCCCCTCTACAGGCATGTCCGTGAAGCGGGGGGCGTTTTTATCGCAGATGAAGTCCAAGTGGGCTTTGGGAGAGTAGGCTCCCACTTCTGGGCCTTCCAGCTTCAGGGAGAGGACTTTGTGCCCGACATTGTCACGATGGGAAAACCCATTGGCAACGGCCACCCCATGTCATGTGTGGTCACGACCAAAGAGGTGGCAGAGGCCTTCATGTCATCTGGGATGGAGTACTTCAATACAGTAAGAGCCTTATGTAGGATCATGAACAGCTGTGCAAGTGATAATAAATGAAAGCTATTTAAAAAGTTGCATACATGTTTTAACATAAAAGCACAAAAAGATTGCATTACATGATATTTGCTTTCCCTCCCAAGTTCACCAGAATTGCTGCTGACCTGTCCTCATCTTCTGTGTTTTTGTCCAGAGCTTCCAAGCACATCCACACATCTGTTTTTCCCATGTTGTGGAAATATGCTGCATTCAAGCCAGCCTGTTTTTCTCATTGAGTCTTGATTTGTAATTATTTCCCATGAAAAAAAACAAAACTAGGATGTATTTTCATCAGAAAATGAGTTTCTCTTTTGTTACCAGACATACATTAAAAAATAAATAAATCACTGCTCATGTGCTATCTAGACAGGTATGTGTTTAACATACTGTATGAAACCTTTATGGAGAGTAGGGTGTAGCAGATTTTCAGATTGATGGGAAATGTGAACTTGATCTCGGTGTCATCTTTCCTCTGTGTGTTGCTTATCTGTGGCCTCAGTTTGGTGGTAATCCAGTGTCGTGTGCCATCGGTCTGGCCGTCCTAGACGTGATTGAGAAAGAGGATCTGCAGGGCAACGCACTGCGTGTGGGGCAATACCTCACCAGTCTGCTGGAGAAGCAGAAAGAGAAGCACCTGCTGATCGGAGATATCAGGTGCGCTTACACAGCATGTGACACAGTGCAACATCAGATAAGCTGTCCACGTACTTTAGAACTAATCCTTTAGCAGTCTTTAACACCACACTATGCTGTGTTCCTATAAATCCTGGCTAAACGTGCAACCTAGTGACTTCACAGGGAAGTGTTGCTCTGAAAATTATTTAGAAATAAAAATACATGCAAAATTAATACCTTACAAACCCTGATGGTGTCACATCCTGCAGGGGTCGTGGTCTCTTTGTAGGCGTGGAGCTCGTCAGGGACAGGCTGAAGCTCACTCCTGCCACAGCAGAGGCCCAGGAAGTCATATATAGGTAAGTTTAAATGTGGAAACTCATCATCATGATCATAATCTTTATTTATATAGCACTTTAAAACAACCACAGCTGACACAAAGTGCTGTACATTGGAACTAAATAATAAAATAAGATATAAATAAAAGCCAAATAAAAAAAAAGTAAAACAATTCATTAGTTTTTTTAATAATTAATTTAATTACAAGAGAAACTAAGTTTTACCTAAAGCCAAAGAATAAAAATGGGTTTTAAGTCGTGTTTAAGTTAAGGGGCCTCTCAACCCTGGGGACATGCACCAGTACCGGGCTGTGAGAGTTGAGGCACTGGTGTGAAATTTATGGTTATTTTCGTTATCGTTTTTATCATTAACTTTGTTTCCCTGGGTCTTTTCCCGTGTGTTATGAGCAAATCTTCTTTTTTTTTGGTACTGGCACTGGTTTTATTTTGTCGTATTTATCCACAACACCTTAAAGTCTGGTCGGTGAAAATATTGTCAGACATAAACCGGTCTGTGGCGCATATAAGGTTGGGGACCGCTGTCCTAGGTCTCAGTACTGCCAGGAGCAGCTGGTCAGCTGACCTAAGAGACCAACAGGGTGTGTAGGGATGAAGAAGCTCAGAGAGGTAAGGCGGGGCAAGATCGTGAAACCATTTAAAAACAAATGGTTTCACAAAAAATGAACTCTGAAAGACACAGGCAGCCAGTGCAGTGAGGCCAGCACAGAGGTCATATTCTCTCTTTTACGAGTTCCTGTTAACAGTCGTGCAGCTGCAGACGTAAGACCAACCACTGACTGACCCCCACATAAAGTGAATTACAGTAGTCCAGACGGGATTACTCAGATTAAAGTATGTGAGTAATCAGCAATACCATATTAAATAATCAAACAGACTGCTTATATTATTCTGTACTGAGGATGGCTTTCAGTGGTTATGCTTCTGCAGTCCAATCATACAGTATATCACACAACAAAACAAGACTTATGAACCTAAGTAAGAATTAAAAATAAAGAGCGATAATAAAACCTGCATTGCTTACATGTATAAGTGACAGTAACAGTCTATTATCACCTCCTCCTCTGGCTCTCTTAATGAATAATCCTTTACACAATGTACCCATGTGTGAAAGCACTGCATAATAAACCACTGTAACAATTTGAGTTCACACAAACGGCACTGAGCTCCACGAGGACTATTTTGTTCTTCCTGTCAGCTTGAAAGCTGCGTTTATTAATGAGACACAAGCGTGTAAGGCCTCATTAACACGCAAACTTGGCTTTCACATGACTGAGGTTGCAATCATACATGGACATCAAATTATGCTACTCCTGTCACACGGCACCTCAAGGTGTCTGTGCGTCAGTGCATCAGCATTAAAAAATGCTGATTAAGCATTAAAAAAACAGTGCAATAAAAAATTGCACTGTTTTAGAGAACTATAAAGTGTACAATATTGGAGGTGTGTCAGCGGTGTGAGTTGGAAGTTTGTCAGTCAGGTTTGTGTTCTGTTTGCAACTTTTTGTTGTTGCTTTCACTCACTGATTCATCTATGGGCAGTGGAGTGCAGTGGTTAGCACTGCTGCCTCACAACAAAAAGGTTCTGGGTTCAAATCTGATGCTTAGCTGCAGCATTTCTGTGTGGACTGTGCATCTTTTCCCTGTGCCTTGTTTGGTTTCACTCCAGCTGGTTTGGCTTCTTTCCGTAGTCCAGAGACATGCTCAGTAGGTTAAATAGCAATAGGTGTGCCTATGAGACTGAGGGTGTGTGGTTCTCTGTCTGTCTGGTGATCTCCCTCAATCAACCCTAAGCTGGAGAAGTGGTTAAGAAGATGTATGAATGAACAGTTCACTTTTGTTTTCACTTGATTTCTATTCTACTGCTTTAAGTGAGAATATGTGCAGTCAACAGCAACAGAGTGCTAAAAGGTTGATAACTTCTCCCAGGCTAAAGGAACAGCACATTCTTCTCAGTGCTGACGGACCTCATCGCAACGTGCTCAAGTTCAAGCCCCCAATGTGCTTCACTACAGAAGATGCTGAGCTGGTCGTGGAGAAAATCGATGTCATTCTCACAGGTATTTCCTTTTCCCCCCCTTTGTGGCTTGTGTACTACTAGAAAGGGTCAAAGTGTATAAGTAAACTCTTAATCATACAGTGTGTTTTATTATGTTTGTTTCCAGAACTGGAGGAAGCATTGGACCTGAAGCTGAACAACACACTGGCTGTAGAAAATGAAAGCAATAAAAGGAAAGTAAGTTTGACTTTGCTGATTATCAAAAAGTATTTTTTTAATGAAAGTGTTCATGATTTTGCTGTCACCGGTTTTCATTTTGACTTTATTTCTTTACAATTTTTACGTGAAGCTGCTGACTGATGAAAACGGGCACAGTGGCGTGCTACACAGCAAAGGAAGCCGTCAAGGGTCTCCTCAACAAACCAAACAAAGCAAACGCCTCAGGACATAAAGCCGCCTGTGAACAAACACAAGAACTGACACAGGTGGCACATCTCTAGAGTTAAAGGGCCGTAATTTGATGATAAATGTTTTTATATTGATAATATACTGCATATTAATTAGATTGTCTTCTCAGGTATTTTTTTAATATTTGCATAATAGCATGTTTTTAGCTAGCTGCATAAAAATGTACCTTATTATGTGACTTAGCAGGGTACAAGAGCCTTATTCACGATATCAGGGAATCATAAATGGATCAATCTAAACATGTAGATCTGAAAATATGCATCAGTATCTTTGTGTGCCTTTAGCATTAAAAATACGGCCTTGCAAAGGCCATTACATGTTTTTACAGAGAAGTAACTGAACTGTAAATGCTGTGCAAATGCTCAGATGTTTCTTGTATGACTGTCTTGTTACTACCTCTGTCCTACTCCATTGACTGCAGATGAAAATTAACATGTATGGCTAAATCTGGAATATTTATATGACAAATTTAAGCACTCATGTTAATTAATATGCTTTGTCCCTTCTAAATATACACAAACATAAGTCCAGGAAACACCATTACCTGATGATCCTGTGATGCCATCTTCTGGAGGGAAAATGAAATGTGTCATATCTCCTGAACACTGCATATGCAAAGACGCCACATTGTTTGGCTGCTGATGTAAACTTGAGTTTAACAATCTTCTCAAAAATTCTGAGCATTAATTTTCTATTTAATCATTTACATTAAGTAGAAATCAAATCAAAGAAATTCAGAATCTGGATGAATGTGATTTTAAACAATGCTTTGTCCTATTAAACCGACTTCAACAGCACATAACAACCATGAGAAGGTGTGAAAAGGACAGTTTATTTCACCATCTTGTACAAAAATGCAACTGTGACAGGTTCAAGGGTTTCAAGGTTCATAGTTTTCTATACAAAAACGTACATCTGTAATATCACTCAGGCACCCATGTAAGTGGTTCACACAGTGCAAGTCCCAATTAGAAATTGGTGATTTTGTCCCATCAATGTTTGGCAGCTTCCTCTCCCTTCTTCCTTCTCTAGGTTCATTTCTCCTACTCCTCAGAACATGCTGGCTTTATCAACATGGCAAAATCATTAATAATGCTGTGCCTGCACGACATGTTCAGGTGGCAGAGTGTTGAATTTAAGCTGCTAAAGACCTTCTGCTCCACCAGCTTCATAGGAGGTTAAGAGAAAGTGGGAAAGGAAGTTACAAAACAAAGACAAAACCAGTGTGTCAGTGTAGTTTGGTCTAATTTCTTGAGCAAGGTCAGTGCTTTCAGTCCTTAATGGTTGTCGATGAAGGGTTGGCTGTATCCACAAACAGAACTGCATGTAAGTTTTCCACATAATTAATATCCTCTTCATTTGAATTTGCTTATTGCAAGTCTAGCCCATGAGATATCCCCTGAAAAGACAAATTAGCACAAATTAGACAACAGCTACAAAGAAGTACAATCAACGACTCAGTCTCCCCTTTAGACAGCTTTGTAAGCTCAGATTGGATATCAAGTATCTGACACGTGGGTCTGGATTCGATAGATTCGAGCTTCGACTTACGGCAGCTTCATGCGCATGAACACTCGGGCCATGAAGAAGCTGAGGAGCACGCTGACAAATCCAATGAAAAGCAGCAGGAAGCGGTTGAGTTTGGGAATGTTGGGTGCATTGGAGCGGTCCAGAATTATAAAGCCCAGGCCTCCCATTGTGAACAGGAAGCTGGATGCTAGTCCTTCCATAATGTACTGACCGTTTACTCTGGAAAACACATCAATAGGATTCAGCTTCAAATCTTTAGACTGTGTTTTAATTCCAAAAATCTTACACGCACCTGTAGGCCAAGAAGGCAACCGGTCTCTGGTGTCCATGCTCATCAGTCATTGAACCCACACTCGGTGGCTCTACGATGACGTCGTAGATGATACCTGTGCAGTGAATGGAGGAAAAAAAAAAGGTTGAATTCATAATTAATTAAGTTTAAGGTAAAGTCTGAGCAGTGAGAGCGCTGACTGAACAGAGAGGTGATAATCACCATAACATCAGTGATCAACAACAACTACAGCAAGATAAAGACAAAGTAAACTACAGATATTCAGTTAGTTTAAGGTAGGCTAGTTTGTTAGCCCTCTATTCTCTTATATTGTTTTGTGATGTATTACACGCTGGTTTACAAGCGCAACAAAACCCCGCAAATCTAACAACGCAACAAAAGCACGTAACTGAGTATTGGCATTAAATACTACACTGATAACATCAAATGCAACACAGAATTATCTGGCTAGCCTTCAGGCTTTTACGTTAGCTTAGCATTTACCTCCAGTGATGAGAAAGTAGGACACAATAACGATCGCATAGACAGTCATGGCCGACGGCATGTGCAGCCATGACGGTTTCTTCAGTTTTATGTTTGGACATTCAAGCACAGCAAAAGGTATACTGTATAAAGTCTCCATGGTGTATGAAAATATTTCCAGTCACCACAGTAGAGGACCTCTCCGCCGCTGAATGCGCAGGCGCAAACACTCGGTTGACGTGTCCCGGAAGTACATTTTTTTTCAGCCAACTAGGCGTTAATATTTTTTAAAGGGATTTTTTTTTTGTCATTTACTACTAGCATTAAAAACATATTGCATTTATAGTTACATTAACCCGATTTTATTTAAGAATCAATCAATAAAATATATATGTTGGGTAAGGCCAATCTTTTACTGTTTCGTTTCTTAAAGAGACAGTAATCTTTTAGAGGGTTTATTTAAGTGCACAGCTTTGTTGAATGAAACCTTACCACCCAAAACGCTCCTATGTAACCAGTTTCATTCATTTTTATTGACACTTCACTGCATTTAAATATTTCATTATTTTCATTAGTTAAAGTTTTAGCTTCTTCTTCTTTTCTTTTTTTTTATATTCCAGCGCAGTTGTGGTGTGGAGCACCTACAATTTCGTTGTGCATGTACAATGACAATAAAGGGATATACTCATCTATTCTATTCTTATGTTTTTTCCCCTTCACTGCGAAAGTCAACATGATCATGCTTTAATGGTCCTTATTCATCCAGGCATTTAATCATTTCGAGTGCCTTCATTGGAGGACACAGCAGAGGACGAGTTATTAATTTGTTTGGTGTTACAAGACCAAGCATCCATTCAAGATACACATGCATAATGCCACAATATACATTTGTTTTACTATGACTGCCACCAAAGGAGTTCTTGAGTGATACCTTGGATTGTTGCTTTTAAACAGTCACACATCTGATTAGCATCCTTGGTGGCTTAAACACTTCTGTATCAGTGAATTGGACCAATGGTTGAAAGAAACCACATTTAATGAAATATTTCATTTTGGTACTCTGAAATGTAGTTGGTACGCCTACTCCATAGCATCTATTTTAAAGCTTTAGTGACTTTTAGTCAATTACATGGTCATAATACTTACTTTAGGGCACAGGTGTTTCACAAGCCTAAAAAAATAAAATAAAATAAATAAGTGTAGTTTTCTGTTCCATTTACTTGCGATCAACTACTGATCGCTCACATAATGCACAGGAAACTCAAATACCTCAAAAACACAGCTGTATGTTATGCTTGGACATGAAGTACCCTATCATAGCAAATGTCTTCTTCAGCAGAACTGAACCTTTAGACACTGCAAAACATGTCACAAAGGGCCCCATGAACACAACCAAGATCTGAACCTGCTAGCACCCCAAATTAAACTGAAGGCAAAAAAAAAAAAAAAAAAAAAAAAAAAAAGGTACTGCAGAGTTTGATCCTAGGTGCACGCTTTTCTTCTCACAGTCCAGACATTTTTGAAGACTCCCTGTAACAGTCCTGCTGTCCAAACATGTTATTGTAACATCTTTAGTGATAATTTTGCATTTGTTAAACATGTATGCAAAAATTTATTTCCAGTTGCTTCCTTAATCCTGAGGGATCAACACAACAGAAGGCTCTGCATGTGTGAGGTCCCCCTTTAACCAGGGACCTGGCACAAGACCAGAGGGAAAAAAAAACAAATCTTTGAAATAGACCCCAAACACACAGACTGTTCAGCAATTTCAATAAAAGAAAAAAAAATGCTGCGACTCACAACATGTAGTGGATTTGTTTGACATTTTTTTATTGTGGCAATACAAATACACAGTTTACTTTGACTTCTGGCTCTGTGCCTGTGCCTTGAGCACCTTGACAACGATCTTCTGCTCCTCAATCAGGAAGGCACGCTTGATCCTAATAATAAAAAACAAAGGAGATCAATTAACATAATGAATTAGCTGATCACAGCATACCTAACAAGTTTGTATTTTAGTGCTTTCAAATTAAAGTTTGATGCCTGTATCAATCTATTTTCTCAGTAACAAGCATCAGAAGATGAAGGGAAGTGCATCTTTTACCTGTCACGCACACACTTGGCGCACATGGATCCTCCGTAGGCCCTGCTAACGTGCTTCTTGGTCTTGGAGAGCCTCATCAAAACTTGAGGTCTAACAGCGCGAATCTGTAAGAACACAGATATGGATGTTGAGAACAATGGAGGAACAAGCAATTGCAGAGTGACACTTTCAGCAGCACAACCTAGAAAAAGCTGGGCTCAAGGCAGTTGAGCAATTTTATAAGCTCACTTTATAAAAGCACGCTGCCGTGCTTCCCTGGATTCAGACCTGCCTGCAGTGGATCACACAGTGCTGATGACACAAAGCTGTAGGGGTGAACTGGAGGAAGGTGGATTTATATATATATATACTGCTCTACAAATGATGGTCACTGCAGTGATGTTTTTAATATGACCATAGAAAGATCTCGTAGTTATCTGAAGAACAACCACAGCTAGCTTAAACACCAGCAAGTTTCTTGCATTGAGAAAACTCAAAGGTTTTATTAAAAGTGTACATTTAATGTACTCAAGAGTAGTGAGCAGCTTATCAAATGGTCAGACATTTAGTGGAAAATGTTCAGGCCTCTATTAAAACAATAACACCCCCCCCCTTTAGAGTCGTTAGCGTAATCACCCAGGAACAACCCTAAAACAACCATGTTTCTATGTGTACACACACTTATTAATAATGTCCTTTCTCAACGTATTTGCACTTTCAAGTGTAAAAACTACTTATTAATACACTGAAATGTCCTTAATTCTCCTTATGAACCCACAACCACCAAAGCAAAGATGATGATGCACATATGTGCACTAAGAGGACCAGTTTGAAATCAAAGTTAACACTTTGAGGTATTTGTAACTTTTATAATAGCTGAATTAAAACCCATTTGAACTAAGGAACTTAAAAGAATTACAGAATAAAGTTTAACTGGGTGTCAAAACCCCGCATCCAGATCCCTCGAGCTGCCATACCACTCCAAGCTGTGGCGCCTGTGGGCTTTTCAACATTAACCTACCTACAAACGATTTACTAAATTTGGCAGTTCTAACGAACACTTTGTTCCTGGCAGAGAGAGCGTGAGAACTAGCGCATTACCAACATGTTCTTTTATTTGCCTATTGAAAGAAATGACATATACCTGGTAACATTAGCTGAACCTGAAGTGGCATGTTGAGATCAACTGAACTTAAAAAAAAAAAACCCCACTGGAAACACTGGCACCATTACAAACCTAAGGCACCGTCTATAACGTGGAATTGGCACAAGCCATTAGGCAGTGGTTACAGGGAGTAATAACGTAGTACTCAGGAATAAGCAAACAGCACCAAGTGAAAAGCTTCTGCTCCTGTGAAAGTTGATGTCATGTGCACACAAAATC